GAGAAGGCTTCAGATCAAGGGGAGGAGAGACCGGGCACTTTCTGATGAAATGCCATCTCATGGGTCATGAGGAAGAAAGTTTCCTTGGCATCAGAGCAGCCTCACCAACCTCTCTAGGTGGGTCCAGCAGGTTTCTTTTTCCTAACAGTAGAAGACCTCCAGCTACTGAATTCCATCTGAATAACAGACCCAACATCAAAACCTTGAACTGCACATTTTATACAAGGCTGCAACAGGAAACACGTGCACAAAAGGAGCAGTGATTGCAGCACACCACAGCACTGCAGCACCACACATGTCCCCCCTCCCCGCCTCCACATACACACACATACCAAAATAGACACTATGTATTCAAAAATACAGAATGCCATTGCCTTAATGTAACCGGATGCCCGTCTGGCAAATGGAGGGTATTGTAGCCTTTCCAAAGCTCCGAGTTACCTGCTATCATGGTTGCTGAGCTTGGTCTGCTCCAGGTTACCTTTGGTTTTTACAGAGACCGTTCGCTGGTGGTTGGCACCATTGTTCTTTGCCATCATCCTCCATGTGCGGAAGCCACCAACTTTATTCTGCTCCGGAAAACAGGGAAAATAAAGAAGCCTGGCTGGACATGTGGGAACCTGATAGATGTTTGCTTCTGGGCTGGGTGCTTCACTATTGCTTTATCCAAAGAGGACTTTGTTGTATGTGAGAGGGGGCCTATGGTTGGAAATCTGGAGGAACTGGTATCTTAAGGAATTTTCCTGAGATCCACTGAAATATGGCGTCTTGGCTTGGCGAAGGACTGGCTTATAAGCTTAGGCAACTCCATCTGGCCAAGGCTGCTGTTCAACTTTCCTTGAGCAAAGTCACTGCTTTAGGGCTTTTAAAATGCATTTTCTCATGTTGGACGGAGCATCATTTTTAACATCTCAGTGAGGTTGCCCTTTCCTCCTGTCAGTTTGACCACTTTTCCCAGGTGTCTCCATTGAAGTCCTGTCCCAGGCATCTCAAGGGAACAACCAGCCTATCTTTTCCTCCTGGCATGACTCACTTTCAGTTTCTGCCGAGGACCAGGAGGAGGAATCAGATCTGGTCCTAGGGAAAGTAGGGTTGCAGGTAAATTTCCAAACACCCAAGAGCCCTGGGGCCTATTAATAGCTGGGAGCTGGCTCAATAAGTGACAGCCCCATAAAGTCAGTGAAAGCTTTGGCTATGAAAGTTACAGGACAAGAATTGTGAACTGGGTGCTAATCATATGGCACCTACCATATAGTTGAGCTGAACTTCCCTGTTCCCCTCCATTAATTTGCCCAAGCCCCTACAAACAGCCTGTACTAACAAATCTCTGCAGATACAATTAATTGCAAGAGTAACAAAAACATCTAAATGGTTACATGTTAATAAACAAATTGGACTATTGCAGTTAGCAAAGCAAGAAGTCCCGTATTCACATTCAAAAGTTTGTTTGAATTTGATTGATACAACTAGTGAGAGAATGTCCTCCCATCCTCCTTTTCTTCACTGCTTCTGCAGCCCCTGGCCTCTGTTTGCTCTGATTCCCCATGTGGCTTCTCCGTGTTATTATTCAAGGCTTCTCCCAAAGGCTTTCATCTTTGTCATCAGAACCATGGCAACCTCATCAGCATCAAGCTTCTGCCTAACAACAGGTGTCAGATGCTTTCGTGGCCTGTCCTCAGCAGACTCAACAGGGCAACCTGGGAGGAACCAGCCTGGGGAGTCAGCCCCCAGCCTTCCGGCTTCACAGGAGGAGCATCGCCTAACTCTGCAGTGGGCAGCCTGGCTCATTAGCCGGAAGGTACAACAGAGCTTTCAACTAATCGCAACGAACCAGTTGCAAGCAGCAGCTGCCACAGACTATTATGTGGACATTTTGATATCAGTTTTCTCACTAACTTGGGTGGTTTGTTTTGTAATTGGTTCCAACAAATTTATCAGTAGTCCTAATAAAAGCAAAAGTAGTAGCAGTACTTGTATTTAACTCAATGGGACAGAAAAGAATGATCATTAAACTAACCGTGAATCAAAGGAATAATGTTCAAGGACTTGAAGCGTTCTTACACTGCAGAGCTGAGTTGGGGAGACCCACCCACCAACTATGAGCAAAAGCCACATCCCTGACTGAACTATGTCACCTGAAAAGGGGGAAATGTCAACGCTCCCACAGGAATGCAGGCTCCCTCCACTGTATCACCTCACCTGATTAAAGATGGGCTTCCAAGCTCTTCTTTACAGCCTTTCAAAGCCTCCCCACCCAATACTCCTCCACTGCTTTCCTGTGTTGGACAGGTAGCTCAGAAGAAGTGCCAAGCGTGGTAGGCAATTCAGAAGTGAACTATCCTGGTTTCTTCTCTTTTTTTTAGTCATTACCCTGGCTGAGCATCTGCAAAAACACACAGACACTTCTTCCGTTCTGCCCTCTGAATTCAGACTACTGGGGTGGGGGGAGGAGGAGTCAAAGAAGGGGACCCAGGGCAAGCAGCCCCCAGGCTCAGCGGCAAGCAAGCAAACTGGGCAAAAGGAAGAAGCCAGCTCAGCTGTGCCAGAGAAAGAGCCACCGGGCTGTGCGTAACAGGCAGTTGCTGTCATTCCGGAGCAGTTACAAAAGTCAGTTGAAGAAAAAGAAAGAGGCCGTTGGAACAATAGAAGAGGCATCTCAGAACTATACCCAGTGCAATGTGTTTGTATTACTGACCTCGGGTCTTTTTATTGATCAGTGCTTATTCCTAAGTTCTCTGACACCTGTTATCTCTGTCACACTTGAGGCTCTGGACAACCAAAACAGCCTGCCCCCTTGACTGCCACCCTGCAGATTGGCACACATGTCAATGTTTGTTCCCGTTTAATGGCAAAGCATTTCCAAAGTGCCCTTAGTTTAGCCTTCCAGCAACTGCAACTGAAATAAGGGATTTCTTTGCCAGGGAAAGAAGCTGGAAAGGAGGGCTGTTGCCCACTATCTTCAGCCCCATGAAAGTTTGTTCCTCCAGGCCCCACAACCTAACCCTTCCTCCAGCTAAGTAGGCTTAGCCAGCCCTTCCCCTGCTACTCACTAGTCGGTGCTCTGCCACGGCCGTGTCAGAGGCAGGTGACCGCACCGGAGGTTGGCAGGCCTGCAGGAGCAGCTGCTGCTGCTTCTGCTTCCAGGTGATCCTGCGGTCTGTGCTGAGCAGCACCCTCTCTCCGGCCCTCAGGCACCCTTTGCAGTGCTGCTGGGCATTGCAGTTGGGCCCCTGACTTGCTGGTTCAAAGGATTTCCAGGTGTTCCAAGGAACCAGGAGGTCCTTTGTAGGCTGGGACGGTGCTAGGCGACCCACTTGTTCAGCCTGTTGCTCGAGAAAAGAAGAGTGAAAGGAGGACCCAGGAGCTGCCTACCCAGACAGCATTTGTTCGAACCTCTTTTTGAAGTTCTCAACCCTGCTGACAATGCTGAGCCAAATGCCCTTCAACGCCCACTCCTGCCACTGGCTTGGAGGAACCACCTGCCTGCTGCCGAGCCCTTCCTCTGGCTTGCTTGGTGTGGGAGCCAAGCCCAAAGGAGCCCGCCTTTTCTACTACTTTCTGCTGCTCAGGGACTAGGCTGCTTGCCAAGGTTACCTCCAGCACCAACACAGATTGCTTCGAGCTAACAGGTTTGCTGCTTTTTTCCTTTAGAACTGGGGCCTTTCTACTGAGCTAGTGGGCAAGAAAGTCAAAACGTGTTGGAAAAGGCCAATGGATGTCACTCAATCAAATTATCTCGGATGCAAACTCAACAAGTGAATTGCGTCTTCATCTCTCCCACTTGGACGTGCCTAGCTGCAGACAGTAAGACAGTCTTCCCACCACCTGGCAAATGATCCCCTCTCAAACTGGAGAAATGCCAAGGCTGAACTTGAAACCTTCTGTCTATGTAAGACACCCTCTAAGCAGGGAGCAAATACAGAATTTGTGCTATTAATCAGCGCAAATTTGTGCTATTGGTCGCACCCATAAATAAGGCCACATTTTTGCAAAACTATTCTTTTTCCAAATTAGAAACTTGAGTTCGAAGTCCTGTGAAGGAGAACTTTGGGAGGAACATGACTTTCCAGGATAAAGCTTCAAAATCAGAAGATCTGGGGCGGGGGGGGGGGGGGGGAATAGCAGCAGGCAAGGCTCGAGGCAGCAACTGCCACGCCAGCCACCAACATCCTCTGACACAGGCTCCCTAGTGCACCAAGGATGCAAAACACACTTAACAGAGATACAACAATCTTTTCCCTGGAGAAAGGGGCGGTGGGAAGTGAATGGCAGAGGAAAGGGCGGGACAACAGCCAAAAGGTTTCTCCAGCAAGAATGCAACAAATCATACCCAGGTGCATTCAGAGAGCTGTTTTTTTCTCCTTCTGTGGGATGGCACAAAATTATATGCTGGGATTTGCTCAATTTACAAAGCAGCTCTCTGCTCTGTCTTGGCAGCAAGGCTGGAGAAGGACATCACTCTGATCGTTTATTGGGTGAGAAGCTAAAGTGCAGCAGTGCAAGATGCCCGTCTCCCCCCTCCCCCTGGCAAGTGGGAAGAAGACCCCCTAGCTGCTCCCCATAACAACTTGCTGCAGCTGCGGGTGGAGATGGCTGGAGTGGAGGGTGGACAGAGCTGGCAGAGCTAGTGCAAGCCCTGCTCCAGGGATCCTGAGCTGATCTTCTTGTCAGATCTTGACATGGAAGCCCTGCCAGGCTGTTGCTACAGCAGAGCTTTCTACAGGCGGGAGCCCCATCTGTGGGTTGAGCAGGAAGTTGCATTACAAGATCCGGGCCTTTCAGCCCTACTAGTGAGGTTGTTATGATTGCTCTTCTCCTGATAGCACAATGTCCACAGACTGGAGAGGAGGTTGATGCTAACCAGAGAGGAGTTATGAAATGCTGGAAGCAGCCAAAAGTTGCTAACATGGCCTGGGCAGATCCCTGGCCCTGCCATGCTTGTCAATGCAACAGAAATGTAACAGTAAAACAGAAAAGGAAGAAAAAAAGACACAAAGAAGTAGCTTACAATCTTCTTTTATAGAAGCTATAAGCACAATTAGAAATTTTACTCTGTGGTTATAACATGTATCTTCTTTCTACAATCTATTCAGTCTAATCATCCAAACCACATATCGTGAGTTCATTTTTTTCTGTTTCTCACAAAATGTCTATAAGACGTTTCCAGTCAGTAATAAATGTAGATATTGTTTTTTTCTCTGATCAAAGAAGTAAATTTAGCCATTGCAGCAAATTCCATCATCTTCACCAACCATTCTTCCGTGATGGGCAGTGCCGAATCTTTTCATCTTTGCACATACAATAATCTTGCTGCAGCTATCATGAATAAAAAGTTCCCCAAAATTATATACAAATTAGACCCTGAAACCATGCTGCAGCCCCACCAGGTAGAGCAGATCCAGAAATCAACTCCACAGTACGGCTAAAACTATTTTTTTTTTAATTGAGAGTGACTATAACCCCAGTCTTCCTCGGCCTTCTTATGTTCCTGTGACCAAGGGAGGTTTCTGTCTGAGCCCCTCCTGCATGTTTTCTGTCAGCGGTGGGCTTAAGGTTTAGTTCACCCTTCCCAGCCGTGATACTGGAGTCTATCGAGATGATCTTCATTACTTTCTACTATGTCCACAAGAAACAAAAATGGGGAGAATGTGAAAAGAGGCCAGCAGGGATATATGCAGAGCCCTCTAAAAATCAGAATTCCAATGTTATCATGCTCTTAAAGGCACAGCACCTCCACATTATCCTCTAACTTGGACTGGAGAAGAGTGGAAGAGAGGGCAACTCAATGCCACTTCCACGCTCACCCCATCGCCTAGGAAAGACTATGAAAATGGGAAAGGAGACGTTTTCTCCCTCGACAACCCAAGAGGGGCATTGCAGGGAATAATAATAATAATAAAGATGAAACCTGGCAATAGCTTACAGCAGGAACATTAAAAAAGAAACAGAAGGCTGGAAGGGCAGCCTTTCCTCTCTCCTCCTACCCTTCTGGCCACTAGAGACCAGGAACACTCAATGTCCCGTTTCCTTCCCCCCCCCCCGCCCCCCACTTGGCTGGTTGCAAGTCTTACAGCTAACCACATCATTTTCCTCTTGTGGCTGTCATGGGCAAGTCATCTCCTGAGCCACAGCCATATGTTAAAGAGCCAGGCAGAGGCCAACATGGAGTAAAGGAACAGCTCTTTCTTGTGCCAACTCCCACTTTGCTCTTCCAGTGCACACAGTTGCCCAGAAAGATCAGTCAGCTGCATTTCAAACAGGAGAGAGAAAGAGGACAAAGTGACCTGGGCATTGCTATGCATCCAGTGGTGGGATTCAACTTTTTTTTACTACTGGTTCTGTGGGCTTGGTGGGTGTGGCATTGCTTGGTGGGCGTGGCAGGGGAAGAGTACTGCAAAATCCCCATTCCCTCCCCATCCCACTGACCTGCTTTCCAGCTCCGTTCTCCTGTGCAGGGCAACAAAAGGAGACCCAGCCGATCAGCTGGGACTCAATGGGAGGCAGAGAATAGAGAGGGGCGGGGCCAGTCAGGGTGGTATTTGCCGGTTCTCCGAACTACTCAAAATTTCCGCTACCGGTTCTCCAGAATTGGTCAGAACTGGCTGAATACCACCTCTATGCATATCCCAGGCCGAGGGGACAAAGCTGTCATGGCATTTCAATGCTTTACAAGGGAAGATCCATTTTGGTGGCCCTCCCACCTTACCTGCTCCATCATCGCCCTAATCTCCAGGATGCCAGACTCCTCCAGGGATCCATCTGAGACCAAGTTCACCCCCCAGGCACTAAAGGGAGGAGGTGAAGACAGATCAGGGCTAGTCCAAACTGAAAAAGCTTGCAAGCAGAACAGAGCCATAAACAGTGGTGGGAGCAGGCTGGTGAAAGAGGCCCCAGCAAGACTGGTCAACCTTGGGGATGTGGCTGCACCCCCTGGAAAACATGACCCACAGAGTTCCATGGGGTGGTTGGTCGTACCTGATTTGGACCCGTCTGGGCCCCCACAGCAGCTGGAACAGCTGGAGCCCCAGGAAGTGCAGCCCTCGGAGGATGTTCCTGGAGGAATAGATCCTGCCCTCCTCAAAGAAAGCTGGGCAGCTGGGGCACGGGTGCAGAAGGCCTGACTCCAGCCTGCATGGGGCACAGAGACAGAGGCAGAGCTGAAAGCTTGGCAAGCTCCTGCTTGCTCAGAGGGAGGACAGGCCTGCCTCCCCACAAGCTCAGCCGCGAAGAAGCCTCTTCAAAGAAGGGGAAGGATTGGCCAAAAGAAAGACGCCAACACTGGTCCCTGCTTGCATGCTTTGCCTTTCCAAATTCCCAGTGAACGGAATGCACATCAAACCAGCTGAGACAGATGATGGTCTGCTGTGACAACTCAACCCAGCAGCCCAGAAACAACATCAGGTGCCACTTGGAAGCCTCCAGGTTATGCCCCAGCCGTGTCCAATGAGGGGCCGTCTAGCTTCTGTTTATAAAAATCTCCTAAGAAGAACAGCCTCCTCTTCTCATGACGGTTCCTAAACTTCAGCCAAAAGAACTCCCTTTTTTGTGATTTGGAATCTTCCAGACTATTGGAAAGGGGAGACACCAATGCCACCTTAGTTAGCTAGACGGGGAGGCCGTAAATGACTCCAGGGGTTACTTTGCCTACTTTGCAACTGGTGCTGCCTCCGGTAGAGGGATCCTTTACCTTAGAGCTGAAGTTTCTTCTCCCAGCTGGGCATCCTTTTTCTTACCTGCTCTGCCTCTGCCTGATCCTCTCCACTGCCACCTGAGGGGCCTAGTTGGACAGTCCCTCTTCCCAGATTGTATCCGCAAATATCTGTTGGGCACAAGATGCAAAGGAAGGGAACCTGGGCTGCCCAGCCACTTCTGCGGTGGCATCAAAGGCCCGCCCTGCAAATGGGCAGACCTTCCTCCCAGAGACCCTCTGGGAAAGTAACAGGGACCTTGGTCAACAGCCCACATGGCTCCCTGGCACAGCAAGAGATGCTGCACTAGGCCAGCAGCATCTGCCAGAGAACATTGGCCTGCCCCTCCCAGCACAAGCAAAGTGATTGGCTTAGAATTAAACATGGCACATCTCCATGGGCACGTCCTGCTCGCTCGTGCACACAGATGTATGTTATCACCACAATCTCCATTGAGCCTAAAGGAACTGGCCACCAGCAGGCCTCAGTCACTGCAAGAACACATTATCTGAGTTACCTGAATATGCTGTTGGTAGCTTTGGCTCACTTTGGCTGCTGAGGAGCAGGAAAACCAGCTCCTGGGCATTTGAGACTGGTTCGGTGGTGACGCGGCATGGTCTTCCTTGCTCTGTCCAATGTGGATTGCCTGATGCAACCCAAAGACTGGGAAAGGGGACCTCAAGCCAGGAAGCATTGTACTCATATGGGAAGGGGGGTATCATCATTCTTCTCTTCTCTTGTTCTCCCTCCCCCCCCCAGCAACCCACCTCTATTCTCCCAAAGGTGGCGAGGACAAAGCACCCTCCATAGCTCTTCACCAGATACCTCTGGATTCAACCCATAGCAAAGATGCCAGGCATGGCTAAAGTCTTGGACAACCCCTTCTGTTCCTGTCTCTGCACCCACGCCCAGCTTTGGGCCAGAACTGACTGACCAAGGGCAATTTGGTTCCAAACACCACCGCCCCCTCTGGGGGGACCTGAGACCTCTCTGTCATCTACCTCTCCCTGGCCTTTTGGTTTGCCACTAGGGCATATTCTTCATTCAGTCCCAGTTGCTTCTTCTTCTGAGGTCCAGGCTGGAAGGCAAAGCTGAGGAACTTGTGTCGGCCATAGGCTGGTTTATGGATGGTTGGTTCCAGGAAAGGTCAAGGCTGCTGCTGTGCCCCAGAAAGTTGGGAAGAGAGAGACTTCATTTCTAGGGGGGGTGGGAAGGAAGGTGACCCCATCAGCCCCAGAAAAAAAAAGCTTCCTAGGGCTGTTGGGAGGGAGTTCTATCGACTCTCCTTTCCCCATGGCTGGCTGTTGACCACCAGCGCCCGAACAACGGGCCTGAGTCTTGCACGCGCACGCGGACACCCACAGCTACTCATGGTGTCTTTTGGGTCACAGGGGCGCTTGAATGATTCTGCACCAGGCAGAGAATCCTACAAAGCAGCAGGAGGAGGCCGGGAAGGGCAAGGAGGACAAAAGCAGCAGACGGCTCACAGCCCGCCTGGCTCTGTCCCACCATGGGCACTTCCTTTTCCCTTGGCCCGACTTCAGGACCCGCCGGTCAACCCTGCAGCTCTTGTCAGCGGCCTTGGCCCGAGATTGGCCTGCCGTGGCCCGCCCCCAGCTGCGGCTCGCGGAGTGCTCGTGTGCTTGGCCGAAGGCGCCAAATCCCAGCCAGCTAAACCGGCCAGCCTGCGACCCCCGACCTGGCGCCCGGAGGCTCCAGTTTGCCTCTTGTGAGTTGACCCGAAAGGGAACTGGCGGCGGCTCCCATCCGCAGAGCCTGGCACTCCCCCCCCACCCTGGGGCTGCACCGCCCACCGTCCTCTGCGAGAAAGGGCCCGGGGTGCCCTGCCTGCCACGGCCAAGGGCTCCTCTCCGGCCCGCCTCCCACTTCTCTAGAGCAGCTTCCAACCAAGGTGCCCGAAAGAGGCTTGGGTGCAGCGACATCGGTACCCAGTCTTGTCAGGCTTTGCTCTCCGGAAGAGCTCAGCATATAATCCAGGCGTTTGAGAGGCAATCTGGCCCCGGCAGCCTGATTGCTGCCTTCAGTCTACCTTCCTCATGGGAAGGGCTTCTCCCACCTGACATCCTGCCATTTGTCAGAAATGGTGTAGGGTATCCCACTTGGGCGGGGGGTTGGACGAGATGACCTACAAGGTCCCTTCCAACTCTGATTATCTGTTATCCACCAAAAGCTGGAAAAGTACAACATCAGCATGTGTGCGCGCACACACAGACACCCCAACATGTGGCACACAATCCAGCTCATGGAGCATGGAGTGCCAGGCTGGAGAAGGCTAACAGACCTAGAAATACAGCAATTGGAGCAGAATGTGACAAGCAGACATGCCCTTTAAATATGTCCATGGCACAAACCATTTCTGTGGGCAAAACCATAACATCACCTGCTGCCACAAAGCCCTTGGACCTTCTACCAGGGACAAAGCTTGGGCAGTTCCATCCTTTGCTTTCAGCTTCTGCTGAAGAGAGAGCTGTTCCGCTGGTGTGCAGGTTGGAGCCTCAGAAAAGGTTCCTCCAAGGCTTCACATGGAAAATGCCAGCTTCTCTTCGCTGGTGACCCCGAGACCCATCTGCCTGTTCCAGGTTCCCTGGACCCTGAAAGGGCGGAATGGGATGACTTGCCACAGCCACCAGTCTCCCTGGGAACAGGGGGGTTGATACCAGGTTGATAGGCAGCTCTCTTTCTTACGAGAGGGGTAAAATCTCCCTGTAAAGCGGGCAGTGAAGCGAGAAGGAGAGTTGCTGAACTTACAATGTTCGGTGTCTTCTTTTTGTTTTTACCCTTTGCCTCTGCCCACATCTAAATTCATGGCTGACCATGATCTGGTTTTGATAACAGTGCAAAAAACAATCTGCTACCCATGAGAAATTAAGTTTTTTTCAGTTTAAACCAAATGTATAAATACAGTAAAGCAGCATACAGAGTGTCACACAAGGAGAGAACACCTGGCTATGCATTAGCACCATTGAGAAAGAGAGGGGGTGTCGTCTTTGTCCAGGGGAGTGAAAACATTGAGCAGCAGCAGCAGCAGCAGCAGCAGCTGTTCCTTCTGGCAAGGAGACATTTTCTGGGAATCCCGGTGAAAGGAAGGGGGCTGCATGGTGAGGGGAGACCCAGTGCACTGAGGGCAGGAGGAACACGTTGCCCCCCTCCATTCCGCAGGGAAAGGGCCTAAGGGAAAGTGGACTGTCCAGGGCAGAAGTCCAGTGCAGCTGACCCAGGGGCTGGGCATGCATCCCACCAGAGGAGGAAGTGCTGTTGCAGCAGAAGGGGGTCCCCGTCCAGAATCATCTTTGGCAGCGTGTTGCTCCCAAGGTCCACCTTTGGACAGCCTCAAAGGAGAGGAAGACACAGATTGGGCCAGTGGGATAAGCCTGAAGGGTGAGAAAATGTGGTGGTGTGTTTCACGGAGGGAGGGGCTCAGTCCTTCTCCTCTGCCTTTCCTATGCACATAGAAATTACATGCCCAGACACAGGCACCCACCCTTCCAGTGCAACAGGTACCTCAGGAAATGGCAGTCGCCAATGCATTGGCTTTGTGATCACAATCATTCACTTTTGCCTTGGGCTACTTCTCTTGGGAGAAGGAGGCCTCACATCAAGGCTTAATCCATAGACAAAGGCAGCATTCCACAGGGAGAGCAAACACAGAGGTGGGCTTTCTTCCCCTCCTTTGGTTGAGCAAAGCAGTGTTGGGTAGAAAGATAAAGTGAGCAGAACAGAAAAGAACTGGCCTTTTCCCATGTCAGATACACGCCCAAAAGGCGTATCTGCCCCCCCTCCTCCTCCTCAGCACCATCCCAGGTGGGTAGAAAGAGTGGTAAAACCCCCAACCCACCTGATTCACCATCAGCAGCCAACCAACCTCTTGCCAAAAGGGTCAACGTCAAAGGTGCTGAATGCCCCCCCCCCCGTTGCAGTAGGGCCCGGCCTCTTCCCTGGGAGGCCACCCAAACTGCGGTTCAGCCGTCTTCCTGTAAAGGGACCCCTGGGGCACAATTCAGCCATGCCTTCTACCACATCCCTGCCACCAGAAATGTTCCAGTTGAGGATCCTGCAACATCCCAACCAAAGGAGTGAATGGGGTGAATGTGCCAGCCACCTAGGGAGCACTTGGTGAGGGTGGAGGATAAGGCTGTTCTGTGATGGCATCACCTGCCCACTACTTCCCAGGAGCGTGAAAGGGATTCATAATCTCCTCATATTTGGGAGGTGGGTCACTGTAGGACACGTTGGGCTCCTCTGTGCCACTGCTGCCACCACAGTCAGGCTGCCCCGTCACTTCTTCGTAGGAGGGAGGAGGAGTGGCACTACACAGTCTAGACAGGGGGGGAGCCATGTAGTCAGGCTCAAGAAGCGTCCTGGCCAGCTGACTGGGAGACCCTGGCCCTCGCTCGCCACTTGGGTCCTGCTGGCAGTGGGCTTCGCTCTGGCTGGGAGGAGCCTCACGGTGCACCCTCACCCTGGGCAAGCTGCGAGCTGCTCGGCTGGCCAGGCCCCTATTTTGGGGGTACGAGGGGCGGTGGTGTGTGACTTTTTGCAGCTGGCAGCGCCAGATGATGAAGAGACCAATGACAATGAGCAATGCCACGCCTAGTAGGGGCACCACGACGTACATGGCATCGGAGCGGTCTGTCCCGTCAGAGGCATCTTTGACAGAGTAGGCATAGCCCTTCCAGAACTCCATCTGCCAGGAATGGGAGACATCAGTCAGCAACCATCCACCTTCCCGCCCCGCCCCCCTGAAAGGAGTTAGCTCAATGGTGCCTAAGGATTTGGGCCATGTGCCAGGAGCACCTCATGTGCAATCCCCCAGTTCCATCACTAGGAGGCAGTGCGAATGGCCCTGCTGCCTGGAGGAGTCGCCAAAACAAGACTACCAATGTACTTATTCCTCTGACTTAAAGTGCACGCTTTTTCTTTGGGCTTTAGTTGGCGCACAGCTTCTTTGTTTTCCAAGCCCCCAACTATTTGCCCATTTTGCTTTCCTCCTGCAAAATTCATTCTCTTGCCACCTGCCCACTCTTCACTCTTTTACACCAGGGAGCCTCTTATTTCTTGAGCAGTGAATAATAAGCCTGACCCTTGGAACAAATGGAACAGATGTTATGCTGAGCACCTGAAATTAACATGCCCCTTCCCCCCTTAACAGCTGAAGCCCTCATCCAGATGGATCCTTATCCACATCTTGAGATCCAAGTGGGGAAAGGGAGTTCGTGGGTGAAAGACAAGGGATGCCCCCCCCACTGTTCCCTCCCAGACCCACCTACCGTCTTCTCCTTGTTCTCAAAGACCTCCTTGACTTCCTCATAGCTGCAGACCTCCTCCACGCACTCGCGCTCAATGGTGCCCTGGCGAAATTCTTCCAGAAAGCCATTGGCCCGTGGAAAGCGCTTCAGGACAGAATGGGCTTTCGGGGCTGTGAGGAAGGCTGGAAGACAGGCACCAACGCCATCACCTTAACAGGCTGAGAATTGGCCGCAATGTCTGCCAGTCCCCATTCTTCTTCCACGGTAGAGGTCTTGCTGCTTTATTGCAGAGCAAGATCAGGCAAGCCCCTCCCACCGAAATCTCCAGTGGCAGAAGAAGCAGGTACCGCTCCTTAACCTGGGATGGGCAAGACTGGGCTCATTTGGGCAGGTAGCCCGATTCACAACCATGTTATAAACTGCTTTGATGCCAAGAGGGAAAACACTGCCTTAAAACTGGAACAGCTAAAAATAATCTCCACCAGCCTCAGTTGTGGGCTGTGGCATTTGGAAAGGCTACCCAGCCTACCCTTAGAGGAGACATGCCAGAGGTGAGGGGGAGTAGGCACCTCCCGGGAAAGGTAACCTCAAATTAGGGCAGCTCCAGTAGTGGCCAAAACATCCCCAAGACTCCCCCTCCCCCATTTGAACAGCCTAAGAACAGCCCTCCTCCCCTTCCTCTCCTTGCATTTTCAATCCAGTTTGGGAATGTAGAAGAAACCCAGCCAGCCACGTGTGGCACAGGAGGCCTTTAAGCCCCTTCTCCCCAGGATGGGTGGAAAACATGCTACCCCTCCAGCAAAGAATTCACCTACTTGCCATGTTAGGTCTTCACTCTATCAGTTAAGGATCTCAGCCAACTGTTGGGAAGAGAGCAAACCAGTTAAAAATCCTCCTATTAATTCTCATGTTCTTCCCTTGCATCCTTGAAGGTGCTTGAGACTCAGCTGCCCACGCCAATCCCGAAGCTGCCCTTCTCCCTCCAGATGAGACTAGCACAGGATAACTGTCATGGAAACGTATCTTCAGAAGCTGAGGGTCCGTACTGGCAGCGTACATGCCAGGAACACGGAGGAAGGAGGGAGCCCTGAAGGCAGGTCCCTTTATATATGGAATTCTACATCAGATGATGGAAGAGAAGCCGTAATCCCTCCCCCCCCCCCAACATTGCACAATGCAGGGCTTCTGCGCAGGGAGGGGAGTGGCAACCCCACGGTCCAAACAGGATCTGCACTTCAGTTTCAAGCATCCCAACTGGTGAGCCAAACGCTCCCCCAACCTCTCAGGCACTCCCCGCTTCCCCCACGCAGTTGGACTCGCAGGTGCCAGCGCTGAGCGTGAAGTTTTGCCGGGGATGACAGCGGGGGTCTGGTCCTCAACACGCGCGGGGAGACGGGGTCGGGGAGGAGTTTCTGCAGTGGGAGCGAGCACCAGGCGAGCCGGCCACAGCAACCGTTCCAAACACACTCCCTCCCGCCTTTTCCAAAGGGAGAGCCCTTCCTCGAGCGCACGAAGGAGTCCGGTGCCTTACCTCTGCCGTCGGGGGAGAGGTTGCCATGGCAACAGCGGCGTGCGGGATGCAGCGAGAACAGGATGCTGCTGACATCATGCGCGCCACCTGCAGGCATCGGGAGCAGCCACGGGGAACGGGCCTGCCAGAGCGCGCCCCTCACCCGAAAGCGCCTTCGCTAGAACGGAGCCAGCTTCGTCGCCGGTGCTAGGAGCGAGAGGCGCAAAGCCGAGGCAGCCACTCCGTCCCGTCCTCCGTTAAATTCTCCGAGACGACCCTGCTCCGCAACCATCTTCCCAGATCTCGTTTTGCTCGCCCGGCTTCTCTCGGGGGCGGCCGGAGGAGTCCTGCAGAAGCTCGGCGGCTCAGCCGCTAGTCGTGGCCGGTCGGAGGCGCCAAGGTTTGCCGCGCGCCTAGCCAGCCACGACCTGGAGGCGGAGCTCGCACGCACGTGTCCCCCCCCCCTCCCGGCCCCTCGCTGCATGATCTGATCGTCAGTCCGGCGAGCGGGACTGGAGGTGGATCGCCCGCCCAGCCATGCTCCGAATGGGAAAGCCAGTACCTTTCCTTCTCGCTTGGACTTCTGGGAAGCGTGCTCCAGGGGAGGCCGGAGCCTCTTTGGGGACCGACTCGGGGCTGAGCGCGCGCGCCCCCGTCCCAGGGGCATTTCTCTCTCTCTGGGCCAGGGTCTTCCCATCGCCGACTTCGCTCAGGCGGTGTCCCGCTCCGTAGAGAGCCTTTCCCAAGCGCTTCCTTGGCGGCTCCCGGGCGGCCGCCCCGCTCCCCTGTGGCCATTAAGCGAAAGAGGACGGGGGGGGGGGGGGGGGGAGGCAGTTTTGCTGCGCCTCCAATCAGTAAAAAAAGGCGCCTTCAGGCAAAGCCGGGGAGAAGAGAGGAGGAGGGTTCCGTTGAAGCAGCCGCTCGTGCCTCCTGGAGGGGGGGGGTCGAGCTGCCCGGGAGCCACCGTCATATTCTTGGGAGGTGAGTGCGATGGCAGCCCGCGCCTGCCCGCCTGGAAGCCTGGCCAAGCAGTGGAAGAGAAGCCCGCAGGTGGCTCGGCCAAAACCTTGACTGTCAGCAACCGCCCTTCTGCCTCCTCGAGTCCTGGCTCCCTGGTGGCGCTGGCTGATGGCCATAGTCACCCAGCTGACCAAAGGCCACCACCCTCGCTCAGGTGAGCAAGGCCTAAACTGGGCTCCCGAAGCACCTGTGGGTGGGGGCAACCCACGAGGGTACGGGGTGAGAGACCAGCCCTCGCGCGATTTCTCTCCTCTAAGCCCTGGCCTGTTTCCAACACCGCGGTTACATTGCCCTGAATTCCCCTCCTGGATATCACGGAAGTCAAAGGAAGCGGCCAGGCAAGACAGCGGCTTATCCATCCTGCTAAGACCGCGTGTCAGTTGCTTTGCAAGCCTGTGAGAGGCGAGGATCTTGGTGCTCTCTGAGCTTGGTGGTTTTCTGGCAGACGTTTCATTGCCAAACTAGGTAACGTCATTAGGCACTGATGTTGTTACCTAGTTTGATAATGAACATCTGCAAGAAAACCACCAAGCTCAGAGAGCACCAAAACCCCCACAGTTCAACTCTGAGCTACAAATATTCCCTTCCGTCTGTCTGTATTTATTGATTGAATTTATATTGCCGCCTATTCGCCCACGGTGACTCAAGGCAACTTACAAAATATAAGTATTTACAGTATTGTAGGAGGGCTGCAGGGCCGCAGGAAACACTGTGTCCCCCACCCACCCAACCTCTTGGCTCTTTTGCACCAAAAATAAGAGAATAAATCTGGGCATTGTGAGGAAACTTACATGCACATCCCCCCAACAACTCTGCTGCCAATCAGGGCAGGCAGAGCTACAGTGGGAGAGAAGCAGGGAAGCCAAACCCTGTTTCCACCAGGTTGGGCAATTAGCAAGGAAAAGCCTGCTAGGATAAGGAGGAGGCAAAGGGTGTGTTGAAACAGCAAAGCCCCCTCCCATTCTATCCAAAACTCTGGTCTGGCTGTCCTGAAGCAGTTCAACATGCCTTGTAAGGAGGGGGATTATCTCCTAGCCTGAACCAAAGAGGAAAATGGCTCTCAGCCCTTGGGACAGGGCCTGCGGGTGCTAGTCCCCGCTCCCCTCCTGCCCCTTGCAAGTGTGGGCTTCTCACTCCAGACTTCCTGTTTGCAAAGGGTTTTTAAAAATCAAGATAAACTTTTTATTTTTCTATACTAGTGTCCAAAATACATAGCAAAGCTTTATTTTATTTATCACCTTTAAGTACCACCTGTCTCATTCAAATGAGTATATGCGCTCCTGTATACTTTCAACCCATAGACAGGCTGGGTCACCTTCTCATCGAAATCGGACCACAATTGTTACGAGCTTCCTTTGAGAAATGAACAGTTGCTTCTCATCAAGTAGTTTCTCTTGGAATTTTTATTAGTGAAAACAGATGTTCCTCCCTTTGCCCTATTTATCATAACGGATAGTTCTTTCTTTTACGTTTTAGGACGTAATTTCTACAGATAAGGGGATAGACAAAGGGCACTTGGCATTTTTTCAGAAGCTAATAATTAATCCAGGATGATTTCCTTTCAAGCTCCCTATCTTCTACGCTACATTTACTACACTTGAGCAGAAGGGCACAGAGAGCAAGGAGGCACCAACGAGCGACAACAGGAGAGCAAGCATGGTATCCGTTGGACTCCAGTTGGTAGGCTACATTTTGGGGCTGCTGGGCTTGCTGGGCACCCTGATAGCCACCCTGCTGCCCAACTGGCGGATCAGCTCCTACATCGGCTCCAGCATCGTCACAGCTGTTGGCTTCTCAAAAGGACTCTGGATGGAGTGTGCAGTCTACAGCACAGGCATCACGCAATGTGACATCTACAACTCTCTGCTCAGCCTGCCTACGGACCTCCAGGTGGCCCAAGCCTTGATGGCCACCTCCATTGCTGTAGGTTCGCTGGCTGCCATTGTCTCTGTGGCAGGGATGAGATGCACCATCTTCTCTCAGAGCTCCCCAGCAAAGGACAAAGTGGCGGTTCTGGGAGGGGTCACTTTTGTCCTGGGGGCATTGCTCAGTTTCATCCCTGTTGTGTGGAATATGCATGTGATCCTCAGCGACTTCTACAACCCCCTTGTGCCCGACAGCATGAAGTATGAGATTGGGGAAGCCTTGTACTTGGGCATCCTGTCTTCCTTGATCTCCTTCATTGGCGGCGCCATCCTCTGTGCCTCCTGCCCACCGCGGGACTCTCAAGCAACCTGCTACCGTCCTCATCATTCTCGGACCATGGCAGACAGGAGCTCCCGGCCATCTCCAAAGGCCAGTGCATACAGCCAGACTGGTTATGTGTAGCAGCGGCTGGCCACCCATGAAAACGCTTGCTGGATGCACTGAATAGGTAAGCAGAGAGACAGATTTATTCCTCCCACAACCCTCCTTTCATCCTCGGCACTCCAGCTGTCTCTTCCCAATGCAGCTTGGCGCTGCCAGAGGTGTCGTGTTGCATGTCAACTGTCTGGTGGCTGCCGTTTCTTCAAGGCCCGTGGGGCTGTTTCCTCTGAAGGTCTTCCTGCTACTAAAAGACCAAGCAAAGTGCCTGATGACTGCACAGCACAGGAGCAACCCATTTGGAGGAGTCACAGGTGCCCATCAAGCCTCTACTGTGCGCCTCTCAAATCCTGTCTTCATCCCACCTCCCATTCCATAGGATTCAGCCCTAGAGTGGGAAATGGGACTTCAGGATTTGAGGGGTGGGGGAGGGCATAGCTCAGTGCTGTGGGGGAAAACACTCACCATTTCTGGGAGAAACCCGAAAGTCCTTGGTAAGGGAATAAAAAGACCCCACCCCAAATTGTTGGAGCCCAGAACAAGGGGATTGATGGCAGAACAGACCAAGGATGCCTGGGGCAACCTCTTCCAAGAGATGATAAGACCCCCGTCCCTTGCCCTGTCTTCAGCCAGGGAGATTTCCAAAAGGAGGACAAGGTGCTTGCAGTTGCTGTTCTTTGGGTCTCAACAGCCTGTATTTAGCCTCTGGTTTTGAAGAGGCCGAAATGTACCCGCTCTGTGGGTGGGTACACGCTGGTCTTGGCAGATGAAAGAACTCCATGGACAGGCCTGCTCCACCTGCTCTGGGATCAAAGGGCCGCTCCCTCCGCCCACCCCCCAGTGCTCCGAGCTTGAGACGCCTTTGGGCTCAGAGGGGCTCAATGGTTTCACTGGCCAATAAAGAATTCCTGCTCAAGGAGGGATTGGACCCGAAGACGCCGAAGGCCCCTTCCAGCCCTGGGACTCCACATTCTACTCTAAAGGCAAAGGACAGGGGCAGGACTGAGGGGCTTCACTGTCTCTGGGAAAGAAGAACCGCCAACCCCAAGGCCGATTCCTTCCAGCCTAGGAGCCAAGAGGACTGGGATGACCCCCAAGTACTTCGGGCCCATCCCAAAGAACTGAGGCCAGCAAAGCATGCCCGGGACTGATCACTTGTTCTACCCCCTGCTCCAGAGCAATGTATTGGCACCGGCCTGTTTGCCTGTTGGTCTATTTAGCAATGTCCTACAATAGGGATTTTAAAAAATACATGTGTTCCCAGAAGATGAGCTCATGCTTTGGAAAGAAAAAAAAGGGGGGCGGGAGCCAGGCAGCATGTGAGAGTTGGAAAATGGGTACAAGGGAAGATGGGGACCTGATGCATGGTTCTCCCCACACATGGGGTCAGACAGGTAACTAGAGGGAGACATGTAGAAGCTGAAAAGCCCTAAACTGGCCGTTACTGAACTAGTTGGGAATTCCTGCTCCAGCAAAGGCTTGGCTTAAAGAAAACATGTGCAGCAAAGTGGGACTCTCAGAACCAGCAGGCGGTGAGCTTCCAGAGAGTTGCTGGGGACATGACAGTGGCCACACAAACATAAACAGTGGGGAAAGATCTAAGAGTCCACTCAGGACAAAGATAATCCCTTCATGACTGAAGACAGGAAGGGTTGGTTAAAGAGCCCAGGAGATGGACAAGCAGTAACTGAGCTCATGCAATGGATTCATCCTGGCAAGGTCCTCTCTTGCAGGGCCACTTAAAAGCAGATCACGGGCAGCAGAGGGCTGGGAACTCTACAGGCCTTTTCTAGCTTCAACAACCTAGGAATTCATTGGCCCAGTTTAAACATGCTGATTTGAAGGTGCAAGACTGGGCCATTCCCAGGTTGGAGGACCAGTATGCGGCCATTCCTCCTTGCAGTGCTTCAAAATTGGATGTGGCCGACACAGAGAAGCATTGGGGTGTCCCAAAAGAGTGAGATGCCAGGATGGAATTCCAGAACTAGGAGACATTCTATACAAAGGAAAGTCTTTTTCCATGAATTGAGGGGTGGTGGGTGTATAGCTTTGTGTAACAGTTATAAGCCATGACAATGGTAGCTTCCTGTTACAAAAAATTCAGCAGTGTTATTTTTATTTTCTCCCAGTCATGCCAGTGATGGAGGAAGGGTCAGCATCCTTGGGCAAAGGAGCAAGCTAAGCTGTGGGTGATGCCTTCTTCCTTGCAGGAAGAGTCAAGAGGCAGGCTGTGGGTGGAAGCTGTTTCTCCTGCCTTCTTCTGGCCCACCGGGGAGAGTGTGGGGCCACAACTGAGCTCCTTTCAGAACAGCTAGGTGCCCATGAATTTACGCTTCCACAGCTTATGCAGGCAAAGCTTGGAGGAGTGTTTAGGAAAAAAAATCCTTTTGATTAATGCATCGCTGCGTTACCGCTATTAACCTTTGCAAACCAATAAAGCTATTTTCCTGATAATAGGTGACGAAAGCATTCTTGCCATTCTCCCCCCCCCCGGGGGGGGGGGGAAATGGTTCCTAAGGTGAAGGAATTGAAAAGGGATTTGTTCTCTCTTTATAGACTTGAGTGCTCCTTGAAACAATTCACCATGTGACCACCTTAAGGAGGGTAGAATGCAATCTGGGCAGTCACGCCCAGCAGATTCTGCAAGAGCTAGGACAGGTCAGGGTAGCCTTCCCACATCTTGCTCTTCCTTTAATAACTTCCTTGCTGAGCCTATAATTTTTTCCCCTAGTGCTGCCCCTTGGAATGAGGGCAGCCCAAGCAGCCATAGGTATCTGGAACAAAACCCGACAACCGGCTGCACTCTTTTACTAATCAAGGTGGGGCCACCAGATTTCCATGACCCAGAGAAAAAAGGAACCAGGAGAGGTAATTCTGGAGCAAAGACCCAGGTGGTGGAAGTGGGAGACCCCACTCCTAAGAACATGCTTCTGCAGAGTTCCTTTCCCTGCAAGAGAGGAGCAAGACCGTATCAGAGGCAACAGAGAAAGAGCAGCATTGGTCAAGCAAGCCTTAACTCACCAGTTGCTCTTACTTTCCTCCTTTAACCAGGAGAGGATTCATTACAAGGATGAAGCCTCCCCAGCCAGTTCTGGGCTCCGTCAGATCAGACTCCCTCCCTTTGTCACAGAGGAAAAGGACGGGTGGAAGCACCCGTCATGTAGTCACATCCCCTGCTACGCCCCCCCCCCCCCAACCTTTGCCCCAGATAACGGAGGAGGGAAAATCAAGGGCAGCTATGAGCAGTTCAGGATTCTTCCCTCAAGAATAGACTCTGGTGCGGGGCAGTGAAAAGAGCCCCAAAGAGCCAAACACAAGGACATTTTTTTTTCCTGAATGCCATCACTCTGCTAAACTAATTTCCACAACACTGTCAAATTAACAACTAAGACTGTATTAGATAGAATAGAATAGAATAGAATAAAATAATGAATGGAATGGAATGGGAATAGAATTCTTTTATTGGCCGTGTGATTGGACACACAAGGAATTTGTCTTGGTTCAAATGCTGTCAGTGTACATAAAAGAAAAGATACATTCGTCAAGAATCATAAGGTACAACACTTAATAGTCATAGGGTACAATAAGCAATGAAGTCATACTAGGAAACTGCGAAGATAATGAGGATACAAGCGACAAAGTTACAGGGATACAGTCACAAGTGGGTGGGGATGGGTGATAAGGAGTGATGGGAAGATTAACAGTAATAGTAGTGCAGACTTTGTAAATAGTTGGACAGTGTTGAGGGAAGGCAGGTTGGTAATTGTTTCTTCTGCAGTCCTAATTATCCCCTGAAGTCTGTGTCTGTCCTGTTGGGTTGCAGAACCAAACCAGACAGTTATAGAGGTGCAGATGACAGACTCATTAATTCCTCTGTAGAATTGTATCAGCAGCTCCTTGGGCAGTTTGAGCTTTCTGAGTTGGCACAGAAAGAACATTCTTTGTTCTGCTTTTTTGATGACGTTTTTGATGTTAGGTGTCCATTTTAGGATTTAATATTATTTTCATCCTTACTAGTCCCTATCTCTTCCCACTTATGGCTATATCCATGTTGCTTATATCTTTACAACTTATATCGTTTTTATTGTTTCCTAGTATGATTTGATTGCTTATTAGTATCCTATGACTATCACTAAGTGTTGTATCTTATGATTCTTGACGAATATTCTTTATTTTGTTTATGTACACTGAGAGCATTTGCCCCAAGACAAATTCCTTGTGTGTCCAATCATACTTGGCCAATAAAGAATTCTATTCTATTCTAAAACAGACCAGCAGGCCAGCCTCCTTCGTTTAGCCCTGCTCTGGGAGTGGAAGAAGAGATAATGGGCTTCCCTGTCAGCTCTACCCCCACCCCCCCATGGGCCTCCTCGACTCTGGCAGGCAGGACGCCCCACTCCTCCTGCTCCTTACTTTTACTTCAGAGAGGTGTGAAGCAGAGCTCCAACCCCCAACTGGGCCTTGGGCTGCCACTCTTCTCCCCCAAGGGTCATTCTTGATGCACACTGGGGGGTAAAGGACCCATCTTGCATGCCCAAGACCCGGGCTCTTTCTGAAACAAAGCAAGCATCTTCCACTCCCAGTTAGCCAGAACTACTTTAAGTATCCATCTGATGGCTCTTTATCAATTCAAAAGAGGCCAAGGAAAGGGGCTTATTCCAGCCCCTGTAAGAGGAAGACCACTAAACCAGCCCACTGTCCCTTAGCAACACTTGCTTATCCTCTGACTGAACACGGTGCCCCAGAATGCTCTGACAGGACCCAAACAACACAGCCAGAGGAATCATGAGCATTCACACGTTTTATGCAAACTGAGCGAGAAAGGATCAACAGAGTCTCTCATCCAATAAAACGACTCTCTTTTATTCCCTGCTCCCCACGTGCAGTTGGCTCCCTTCCTCTGTGTGTGGAAGCAAAGGGGAGCACGGGAGCCCCAGCGGCAATGGGTCCTGCCAGTCCTCTTCCAGCCTTCTCCGTCTGCAGGCAAAGCCATCAAGCTAACCCAACAGTCTAGGATTTGTCTGAGTGGCCATCATTCTCCTGGAGTGCAGAGCTGATTCTAGAGCCCAGGACGGAAGGCAGATTCCCACTCCGCCCAAACTCAAGGATGAGGGGCTTCCCCAGCAGGAGAAACCCGTTGAGCAGCTCCAAAGCTTCCTGAGCCTGGGACACGGCTGGCCAGAGAAGAAGGCTTAGTGGAGGAGGGGGGAAGAGACCGGCCCGGGCCGGCCCTCCCCCAGAGGCCAGGTACTTACTGGGAAAGGTGAGGAAGGCCTGGCCTCTCATGCGGCCGCTCAGCAGGCGCAAACGAAGAGGGGGGGCATCCTTCTCTTGGAAGCGGGAGAACAAGGGCAGCAGGTCCTTCACTGTAGCGTTGCGACTCAGATTTTTCATGTACAGCCCCTAACCCCCCCCCCCCCCCCAGAGATGGATCAGCCTAGGTGCCTGCCGCAGCCCCCGCCACCTCCCCACTACAGGAGCTGCTTGCACTACCTGCCTGCTAAGAGGGGAGAAGACAAGAGGCCCCTCCTTTCTCTGCCAAGACTACCCAGGCTGAGGGCCGCTATATTCTTCTCCCCTGCAGGCTCCCCAAGCTCTGTTAGGAATTCCCCCCCCCCCCTTTTGAACAAGGGGCAGGTTCAGGCAGGTTTTGCCTGGTTCTGTGCTTTACAGACAAGACAAACCCTCTCCCTCTGTGGGGAAGCTGCTCAATGGCCCGGGCACCAAACTGAGCACCTCTTGACACAAGAAGCCGGGCAACTGGACTCTCCCAGAGAAGAGCAAAGCACAAGAGCAAGGAGCTGAGTGCAGCCCAGCCTGCCTGGCGAGTACCTTGCTTGGCTCCCCTGGGCTATAGGAGGAAAATCTGGGGATCCGGCGGATTTCTTCCCTGGAAAGGCGGCTCCGGAGAATCTCCTCTTCTGGCACACACGCTACAGGCTCCGTCACCATCACAGGCTCCACAGCTGGTGCAGCTGCTGCTCCAAGGCTGCTGAAGGGGGTAGAGCAAGATGAACCAGGTGCCTTCTGGGAAGACTTTAGTGGTTCCAGTGGTCTCTGGCTTGGCAAGGGTTCGCTCAGGAGCTGCTGATAAACCACGTCGAGCTGAGACGTTGGGCCCATCCCAGAAGCCACCTTTGGCTGAGCTTCATCTGGAGCACAAGAGGCAAAGGCAACGCCTGACCTGTCAGCCCGGAAACACAGGAACCAGCCCCCAACCTGGCGCAGCCCGGGCAGGTGTACCTGGCCGATACAACATCCGCAGAAAGGGATGGCGGTCTGCTCCCTGGAAAAGGGCGTTCTCAATCTCCATCTCACGCCTGCTGAGTGACTTGCTGCCCGCAAAGTGCTGCGGCAGGGAGAGGATGCGCTGGCGCTCCGCAATCTTTTCCTGGATGGCTCGGATCCTGTCCCGAGTGGCCTCCGGGGCTGCCCCAAGCCCAGGGCCCTGAAGCAAAGAGGGGGGTGGGGTGGCGGGGAGTCGGAGGCCGCCTTCCCCTCGGCCAGGCAGCCACGCAGACGGACCGGCAGGGCAGCCCTGAAGGCGGGGCCGCCACGGCACCCGGGCCGCCTCCCCCGCAGCCCCCAGCAGCCGGCTACCTTCTGGGCCCGCTGCCTCCACAGGCGGATCTCGGCGTCGGAGAGGCCCAGCTCCTGCAGGGAGGCCGCTTCCCCGCTGCTCTCCTGCAGGGCCCGGAACTCCGGCAGAGTGCGGGCGCCAGCGGCCTCCTCCCCGAAGGGCCGGTACACGGCCGCCGGCGCGAAGCGGTGCCGCTTGGCCACACACCTGCGCGAGAACGCCCGTTACCGCCCGCGGCCTGGTCCGCGGCGCCAAGGTCCTTCAGTCGGGGCCCCGGCGCTCTCGGCTGGGGGGGGGTGTCCCTGGCGAGCCCCTCCCGCCGCCACTCACTGCTCGAGCGACGCCGCCGTGTCCAGCTGGTGGCGCAGCAGCCGCTTCAGCTGCCTCTCGCCCTCCGTCTCCAGCTCCTCCGCCGCTGCCGCCGCCTCCCCGCCGCCGCACCTGCGGAAGAGACGAGGCGAGGCACCGGCAGTTCCCGGCGCCCCGTCCTCCCTCCCCCGGGCTCCGTGCCCCCCTCCCCCTGCGCCCCGCTCACCTCCTCATCGCCGCGGCCGGAGGCTTCCGGGGTATCGCGCGGGCTGCCGGGAGGGCCCCATTGGCCGGCGCCCCCTCCCCGGGGCCCGCCCCCACTCCACGTCCTATGAGGCCCCCTGGCGGTTGGCCGGCGAAGGCTCAGCAACAGAGACGCGTTTGGAAAGACTCTCTTTATTGAGGGGTACAAAAAGAATCGGGGGGGGGGGGGGGGGGGGCGCATCAGGCGGCGCGCTCAGTCGAAGGTGATGCGGAAGCTGCGCTCCTGCTCCTTGCGGCGGCTCTCGCAGACCTTGCTCATCTCCTCCACTTTCCTCTGCAGCAGCGCTGTGGACAGATGGAGAATGAGAGCGGGAGGGGGGCTTCCACTCCCACTAGGGCAGAAAGAGGGGCACCCCAAGAGGGAAAAGGGGAAGTCCAGAAAGGCGCAGCTGCCAGATCTGACTGGGGGCAGGCAGGCGGGCGGGGGGAGGGGGGGAGAGGATAATCCTGTACTGAAACACCTCCAGGGCCATGACACTACGCCTAGCTATAAAAAGGGGGACTGCCCCAGATTTCAGAATTAAATACCGGAGTTCTGATCAATCCACTGCAAAGAATCCATGTGTGCATTCAGAATTTTGCAGATCTGCTGAAGCTGTGAGGGGGGGGGAGAAAACCCACATTCTGGTGAGGAAATGGCTCCCATGCCTCCATGCCAACCAAAGACAGGAGCTTCTTCCTTCCCACTTACATATTTCTCAGCAAGGGGAAGCTGAAGTATTAGCTTCATCAGACCTAATGATTCAAAGCACAAAAATGAAGCCCCCCCTCCACAAAAGGGTACTCACAGGGTCACTATTGTCAGCAGGGCCCCCAGAGGTGTTCAGGTGTTCAATGATATCTTTCAAATCTTGGGCCATGCGCTTCAGCTGAGCATCGATGTTCTCTGCCAGTTTGTATCTGCAGCACAAGAGCAAACTTGCAGCACAAGCTTATATCTGCAGCACCCGAACGAAGGACACACAGAGGCAAAGAGCTGTGCAACGGTGCCTCTGCTTCCTACAGAATAGGCAACAGGGCGAGGAGCATCAGAAGAAACCCAGCTGGAGGGACCATAACACTCAACCCTGAGGAAAAGGACCTTTGGCTATAGGATGTCAGCAGATGGGCACACAAACGCCCCTTTGCTGAAGCCTCCAACATTCCCCTACTAAGATTGTCAGCCATGCAGGTACAAAGATAGCCAGGGAAATGACTAAAGCCTAGGAAACAGGCCCCTTGTCAGTAAACACAAGTGCTGATTTACCATCAGCTTATCAGGTGCTTAGGAGCCAAAGACTTGGCAGCACAAGGAAACAACAGTCAACTGCCAGCCATCAACATGCCAATCAGCCAAAATAGGAAGGTGCCACATAAATACAAATAGCCCAAAGCATGTATTCCAGTGGAGAGAAGCTCCCCGAGGATGGGATCCAGCAGTTTGAAAGACTACACCTCTGGTCCCGGTGACTGACCCACACTGGATTCCCACTACTGTTCAAAGAAGACCAAGGGACAGTAGGAGGCCAGGCAACTGATCCCTCCTGGAGAAGCGAGACAGCCTGCCTTCAGGGATGCTCACGTCTTTTCCCGCTCCTCATCTGCATGTTGCAAATAGATTGTTCCACTCTGCTCCTTCACAGATTCCTCCAATGGTATCAACAAGTCTTCTAGCTCCTTTTGCTGAGACAAAATGAAGTCCAGCTCTTGGTCCAGCCTATAAGGGAAGGGAGGAAGGGAAGGCACAGCATGCTAAAGTGCCTTTGAACCGACCGGTGCTGCATAGGCTGACAAGGAGAGCTTCAAAAAGTCTTGCTCGGCCTCTTGAAGACGGTATCCCCTTTCTCCTTAAAGCAGCCAGTAGGGACAGCCCTCCCCTTTCCTCCAAGGCCAATTCTAGTCTTTTTCAGGCCCAATCCCTTACCTCTTTTGATCCAGCTTCACTTTCTCTACTTCTCTGTGTAAGGTTGTGATCTGTGTAGGAGGGAGGGGGAGGGAGGGAGGGAGAGATGCAGTTCTTTCTTTCCATGACAGAATCTGCCTTGCCAAACACCAGAGCTAGGCAGCCCCCTCCTACCTTTTCTCCATTTTCAATCAATGTCCTGTCCCAAGCGTTGACCTGGGTAGCCTGCTGAAGGAAGTGCTTCTCCTGGTCCTCCAGTTCCAGGCTCCATTTGTTAATCAGGCTCTCCAGCTGGGCATAAGTCATCATGGGGGGAGCCCTGGACAGAAGATGGAAAATCCCAGCCTGCTATCAGTCTCTTTGCAGGGGAGTGGTGCTCCTGGCCAGGCATCTCCATGGAGCACTTTCAAATCCCATTGCAACTGAAGCTCTCTCCACGCAACTCACATGCCAGTTGTGGTGGTTGCAGTGGAGGTGGAAGCAGCCACGCTTGTTGTGGCAAGGGGCTTCAGGTTCAAGAGGAATCCTGCAGCAGGTATGGAAGCAGCCCCTGGAAAGAAAGTCACCTGGCATCAGCTGTGACCAACAGCAGGGTGTGCCCCTGGAGAAGAAAAACTTTTGATTCCCACCACCAAGCCTAAAAGTCACTGTGGCCCCAGGGATGTTTCCCATTCTTGACCCTGCTTCACCCAGGCCTCTAGCTCTGCGTGTCCCCTGGGCAGCAGAGCAGGGAAGGCTCTGCTCTGGGGCCCCTGGATTCAGCTGAGCCCGGTTTTGCCCTGCAGCAGCAGCAGCAGCAGCCCCCCTTTTCTCCTACTGACGATGGCTTGCCTTAGAAAAGGAAGTTTTAGGCATATACACACCATGCCCCAAACAAGCCAGGTGGTCAAACCTGCCAGAAAGACCCCTTTAAAGAGCCTCAGTGCCCAAAAGGACACTTCTTTCCTTCATCCTATTTCTCTAACCGGTGCTCACCAGCTGTGGGGAGAGTGGCAGCAGCTGCTGTGGTCACTCCAGGCATTTTTGAGCCAAATCCCAAGGTCCCAGTGGGAGCTGCCCCTGTCGAGGAGGTACCCACTGCAGAAGAAAGTGACAAATGTTGCTAAGCAAACAAGGATTTTTTTTAAAAAAAAAAGCTGAATCATATATTGAAAAATGCTACGATCATTTGTGTCAGACAAAAACAGGCAAAGCGCACAAAATTTCTGGCCTGAAGGGAGATCAAGTTCCCAAACGTCTAACTACCCTATGCTCTCTCCGTTGAGCAAAGGCTGTAAGGCAAAGACAGGCTCCGGCTGGCCCTGCCTCCCCAGCCAAATCACCTGAAAGGCTAGTGGTGGTACAGGCAGCTGGAGCTGAAGAGCCTGCTACAGATGCAAACAGCGTGGGCCCTGATAGGCCGAGGAGGGAAGAGGAACTTGTAGTAGCAAGGGCCACCGAGGTGACAGTGGTACCTGCGGAAGAGGACAAGGAGCTGGGTGAGAACAATGAAGAGCTTCTAGAAATGCACAATTTTCTGTGCCTCTTAAGGCCAAATATCATTTCATTCATTCTATCTATCTAGAGACAATGCCTAAAGTGAGTGCAATCCTATCAATAAACCAAACACAGCAGACATTCTTGTAGCATCTCCTTTCAACTGTTACAAGGGAATTTAGCACTGCTGCTGAACTACTTTGGTGCCATAATGAAAGATTTCAAATATGGGAATCTTTGATATGGGATGGACGGACGGACGGGGGCACACACACACACACAAGGCCTATAAAAGAATTGTTGCAATTGAGAAATGAGAATTGCTGGAAAAATACATGAAAGAAAAATATATTTTTCAGAGCACATATTTGCCAAATAAATCATTCCAGGAAAAGATCACCATTCTGTGCTCCACTGGACAGACCACACCTGGAATAGTTGTCAGTCCTGGTCACCAAAATAGAAGCAGCATGCTGAGGAACTAGAAAGAGCATAGGGAAAAGCAACAATGATGGTAAAAGACTTGGAAGCTAAACCTTAAATAGAGCAATTGAAAGAAGTACATTTAACCCAAAGAAGAGAAAGCCAAGGAAAAATATAGTGGCAGCCTTCCAATACTTGAAAATCTGCCCAGGGCAAATGTTTATTCTCCATAGCAGCTGAAGGGGAAGTTTAAAGAAAAGACTGAAACACCCTTTGGGCCCTGGGCAGGAGGTGGAACTATGAAGCAGAAACAACAAAAACAGGCAAGATTGTAGAAAGAGCAGTCAGCATGCAGACTATGATGCTGAAAGGGATTAAGCAACAGGAAATAGTATCTAACCAGGATATTTTTAAAAAACAGCAGGCAAGTCTGCACGGTGGGCAGGCTCCAGCAAGCTCTTCAGTTCCCAAGCACAAAACATACCTCCAGGTTTAGCCCCAAAGGACAAGGGTGTGGTGGTGGAAGTGACCGCTGCTGGAGCCAACACTCCAAAGCCAGAACCTGCAAGGAGAAGAGAAGCCCATCAGCTTCCTGCCTGTTTCCAGAAGGAGGGCCTCCCTGCAGCGCCCTCAGGCAAAGGGGCCCCTTCCAATCCCTCTCCGTGGCTTCCAAGGGGAAGCTCCGGCAGACCTCGCACACGCAGCAAGGCACTCTGGTCTTACACAACCCGAGTCGGGAGGGCCGCTAAAGGCTCGGACTGCCCTGCCCTCTCACCGGTGGACGCTGTCCCGAGGCTGAAGGCCGGGGCTGCCTGCGATGCGGCTGCTGTGCTCACAGCGGCGTTGGCGGAGGCCGGAGCAATTCCGAAAGTCGGGCCGGGAGGTGCTGTTTGCGGCGGGACGCTCCCCAGCGAGCCGAGGCTGAAATTCGGAGCTCCTGTCTGGGCCGCCCCGCCAAAGCTGAAGCCTCCCACGACGGCGGGGGCAGCCGGAGCCGGCTGTGGCGTCGTCGTGGCCGCCGAGCCAAACACGAACCCCGCGGGTGGAGTCGCCGCCGCCGCCGCCACCTGGGTGCCCGCCACGCTGGTGCCGCTCGCGCCGGAGCCGCCCAGTCCGCCGCTACTGCCCAGCCCGAAGCCGCTGGTCGCGGGGGAGGCCGTCGTAGCGGCCGAGCCCCCCAAGCTCAGCTTGGCCGCGTTGCCCCTGAAGAGGAGAACGAGGGGAGGCGGTGGGGCGGCTTCCCCGGCGGAGGCGGCCCCTCGCTCGGCTCCGCCATCCCACTCCCGCCAGCGATCGGACGGAGCCCCTCTCACCCCAGCGTGAAAACGCCCCCCGCAGGAGTAGCCGCCGCGGACGAGGCCGGGGGCATCCCGAAGCTGAATGCGGAGGCCTGCGCGGAGGCGGCGGGCGTCGCGAAGGAGAAGAGCCCGGCGGCGGGCGGGGCGCTCCCGGCGTTCGGGGCGGGAGAGCCGAAGCCGAAGGCCCCGCTTGTGCCCCCGCCCGCGCCCGCCGAGATGGCCGAGGAGAAGGAGAAGCCCGCGGGGGCTGCGCTGCTGCTGGTGGTGCCGACCGCCGTTTTGGGCGTCCCGAAACTGAAGCCGCCGCCGCCGCCGCCCGCGCCGAAGCCGAACTGACTCATGGCGCGTCTGGGCCCGAGCAGCCTCGCCGCTGCCGCCGCGCGCCCCGGTGACGATGCCGCCGCGCGCCGGAAGCAGCAGCCCGGAAGCTGCGCCGTTGCCGGGCAACGCGGGACGCGCCGGTACAGAGCGACCATGGCGACGCGCGCTCCCCTCCCGGCGGAGTCGCTGCTGGCGCTGGCCGAGCTGCTCTCCTCCGACCCGGGGGACGAGGACGGCGCGGACGCGGTGAGGCCCGGGCCGGGCGCCGTGGCGGGCAGTGGGGCGTCCCGGGCTGTCTGCCTGAACTCGCCGCTTTCTTTCCGCAGGCGCAGGGCCCCGCGGGCGGCCGCTCCGGTCCGGGGAATATCGGGCCCCGGAAGGCCAGCGACGCCTCGGGTGAGTTGGCGAAGGGGGGGGAAGGTGGCTCGCCTGTGCTTAGCCTGCCCGTCTGCTGCCGGAGGCCGCGGAAGCGCCGCTCAGAGCCCCGTCTCTTCCCGCAGCCGCCCCGCTGCCGCCCGAGGACGGCAAGGCCATCTGGAGTGCCGGGGAGGTGCCCGAAGGGAGCGCGGGCGACGCCTCGTGGGACCCCCGGGAGCAGCCGGAGTACGTCCCCGCACCGCAGGCAGAGAAGCGGCGGGCTTCCGAAGTGCAGCGATCCCGCAGACTGGCCGGGGCTCCCCCGCATCCCTTCCGTCTGCAGCCCTCCTGAATGAGCCCGGGGAAGGGAAGCCAGCGGGCCCTGAGCCCGCTCGATCCAAACCGGGGCTGGAGGGGCGGGGCGGCCCCAACTAGGACAGAATCTCCCACTGATTCGCTGCTCTGCCAGCTTTGCCTCTTGGTTTGGGGGTTGCTGTAATAGGGAGGATAAGCAGGAAATTCCTCTGTGTGAGGAAGAAACACAGAGGCTCTAGTCTAGGCGACCTGAGAAAGGATGTGCTGTGGTGGAGCATCCACCTCAACTGCAGCTGCCTGACTCCCCGTTCTTTACAGGTACGAGATTGTGTTCAAGCAGCAAGTGAGGGCTGAGGATCTGTTCCTAGGCATGAGCAGAAAGGACCCCTCCACTGCCTGCTGTGAGGACATGCTGGTAAGAAGCGGTGGTTGTTCCTCTTGACAATGTTTCTCTGAGTGGTCCTGCCAGCCTTTTCACAGCAAAAAACTACACAATCTTACTGGAGTTGTGAATTTCAAAAGTTTGGCAACTGCACTTTCTCTGTGCGCGTTAACCTAACATTTAACCATCTAACCTAACATTTCATGTATCTGAGGCGACTCTTTTCCTTATCAAACAATGCCCCCAGCTTTGACAGAGGTGGTACAATGATTCCAAAACCTCTCACTTTGTTCTGTGTCTTAAAACAGAAAAGTAACAGCGTAACATATCTTGCATGCCTCTCTTCCTGTTGAAAATAAGCTTGGATCCACAAAGGATTCATTTAACATAATTAATCTCTTTTCCTCACTTTGTTTTTCCAATTTCAGATTAAGATTAAACTGCCGGACACAAAAGCTTCAGACATTACCCTTGATATACAAGAAAAGCTCCTTGATTTTCGGAGTCCCCAGAAGTATGCTGAATAATTTATTTTTGTGAGAGTATTCTTATATTGCCTTTAGACAGTAACATTCCAATAATATTCGAGATGTCTTGGCTGTGAGGTTCATGCTTCAGAGCAAGCAGGAACATATTGCTGCCTTCTTTTAATGCTTTGATAGGTCTGACATACTTCAGGTTTATGGAGCTTTGGCCATAGTAATTTCTTATTGGGAAAGTCTCTGAGCTTTATATGCCGCCTCTCTCTGATTCCCCACCCCCCTTGCTTCTAGTGTTTACCTTTCTGCTAGTACTGGGGAAGTGGGGGAGTTCATTTGGCATGTAGCAATCCCCACACTCTTGGTTGCTCCCTCAATTTCAGCTTGGAATGGTCTGTTTTCCAGGCGGCTCCTTTTGCATCTACCTCATCCAGTGGACGCCACCAATGGGAGAGCCCATTTTCTGTCTGAACAGTCCACACTGGAAGTCACTTTGAGGATGAAACGAGAATTGGATTTCATCAACTTTTCATGAAGAGAAAGAGGAATCAGCCCCTCAGAGGCCCAGGGAAGATTTTCTAGTTAGGTAACTGAGAGAAGAAGGAGAAGGAAAACATCTTGCCACTGATTCCAAAGAACTACTGTCCGATTGTGCCTGTACCAGGAGACCTTGAGATCTGACTGTCTTACTTCCTTCTTGAATTCTGATACTGAATTTTTTCTAGGAGGCCTCTGGCGTCTCCATTTTCATTCACTGTTGCTTCCTTGGGAGGGGTCCATTCCTCCAACATCAGGAGATCAGCATGTAGAGAGAACAGAGGCAAGGTGGGGTCTTAATGGCTGAGCTGCTGACTGCTCTGACTTCTATGGTGTGGATAGAAAATAAAAGTCCCGCCCTTTCTTCTCTGTGCTCACATCTACTCTTTACAGAAGTCTTCCCTGGCCAGCACAGCAGGGGCTTCCTTTCAGTTGATGCTCACTGGCTTTCTGGGCCATTTGCAATAGAACAGAGAGCTAAGCAAGCTGAGGCTTGTTTCAAGAGATGCTGACCTCTCTGCTCCAGCAATGCACCTGGGGTTCAGTGAAGAATGAACACTGCATTTAGCACAACAGTGTTTCCATCAGGAGGGCTCAGGTTGCAAGCAAGCCTGCAACTTGAAAAGCATGCAGGAGAAGGAGCTCCTGCTGATGTGGTTTGCAGCAGAGGGAGAAGGGGTAGGCAAATGAGAGCTTGTCCATGGCCGCCTCAGTAGAGTGGGACAACTTACAAGACATCTGTCACCTCCCAGTAATGATAAAGCCCTGCTTCCTATTGGTTCCACTTAAATGATAGTGTTTATGTTTCATCAGAGGAGCCCAAGGAGACAAACTCAGGCCAGGTAAAAACTGATGAAGTCAGTAAAAACAGCAGGGTGAGGTTAAGGCAGCAGGAGGACATTGTTAATGTTGATCAACTTTGAGGCAGGGCAGGGAGGAGATGTGACAAATTGGTACCCTGCCTCTTTTGGAAATGCATATCAAATCCCTGGAGCCACAAGAAACAAAGTTATTCAGCCCAGCACCAAAAAGCATTGTCAGGGCAATGGAAACTTGGATTGGGCCTGCTGAATGAGGGGGAGGGAGGGAAGGACTTGCCTTCTCACAACAGCAGGATTAGGGGGAAGTAGCAAAAAGGCAGAAGAAATCCTTACAAAGAAAAATGATCGACTTTTCAAAATGCCAGTTACTTCATATGCACACTCCCAAATCCATTCTGCACCTAAATCCTCTCCTGTGTGTAACACCCTGGACCAAAAGAAGCTGAGATGGTGACAACAGGGAACCAACTGGTGGAGGACTAATCCTTCTATCTAGATGAGTTTGCCCAGGTCCAAGCACTCATTTTTCCAAGGAAGAATTTTCTCACCCCATTTTCTCTTGGGCCACTGGGTGGACTTCCAGTCCTCTAGCATGACCCAGGCCAGAAAGGCCCCTGTGTGGACTTAAGGGGAAAGCCCGAAGTGCTGCTAGCGCTGCCGTGCTCCACTCTGGCTAGTTTCCAGAGCCGCCTGCTCCCAGGGCAGTGTGGCAGGTGGACCAGGGTGAGCCAGACCTGCTGCCTAGAGAAAGGAATTCCAGCAGATAGGACCTGGAGGCCTGGGCGCTTGGAAGGGTTCATGGGGTTCCCACCCTTAGGAGGTTCAGGACGTGGGTGAACTGATTATTTACTTATGGGTGATTGTGGAGCCCCCTCATTTAGCTGTGCTTTGCTTTAATATGTTTTGCCACTGCGCGCCTCAGAACAGACCAGAAGGAGAAGGACTGCTTCTCCTCTGGGCTTGATTCCTCCTCCCCCCCCCCCCCCCCACAATGAGACTCAGGCAAGCCCCTTCTGACCCGAGGGCCGCCTCTGCCTTCCTGGGCTGAGCTGGACTACCACATAGAGTAGCCTCCTTAATTGATGGGGGAAGGGAAAATGTGGAACGACTTGACTGGCCTGCCTTCCCAGAAGACGCTGCCTCTCTCTCCCCCTCCCCGCCCCCAATTTGGCTATTGAAATAAGGCTGGCTTCCCCTCAGCCCCGCATTGATTGCGGATAGCCTCAATCTGAAACCTACGAAGCGAAGTAGGGGAGCGCCGGAGACGCGCTCGCATTTCCCAATCAAGACCATTTAAAACCTACGGTGCCGCTTTTTCAGAAGCCTGCGCCAAAACCCCTTTCTTGAGCTTGGAGGAGGAAAACCCCCCGTAGTGTAGGACTCCAGCCGCCGCCGCCCTGCAAGCCCGTTCGCAGCAGAGGCGCCATTCACAGGGCCAGAGGTTGGGTGGTTTCCTGCCGGTGACGTTGCCTCGCTGCCACCTGACAGGCGAAGTAGGGGCGAGGGGCCCTCTTTATCGCGAGGGCCTCCTGGAAGGGATCTTGCCACTCCCGCTCCCCTTCGGCGCGCTCCCCGGGGCAGATATTAAACCCTGCCCGCCCCACCCGAACTGGGCAGCGAAGGGCGAGCGCCCCGAGCAAGGCGGGGAGCGGCGGCATGCGAGACAGGGGATTCGGCTGGTGAGAGGCGCTTCGGGGAAGAGCCAGGGAGGGCTTTGACGCCGCCGTCTCCCGCGCGCTCCCCTCCCCGCACGCATCAGTCTACCCGCCGCCGCCGCCGCCCTGGCCGCTTAGGCCCGGTGGCGTTTCGGGAGCCTCGCCAGTCCCCCCACCCCGCGCCGCCTTGTCCGAAGTGCAGCCGCGAGCGAAGGCAGAGCATGGAGCGGCCAAAGGCGGCCATGCAATGCCCTGTCGCAGCCTCGCCACCGTCCCAGTAGAACCGCAGCGGCGGGAGCGAGTGCCAGGTAGGCCCCGAGGTTCTATCTTTCTCCGTACCTCCCCCAGTCCTCACGAAAGACGGCTGCTTGGGCCGTCGGGGAAGCCGTCGGCGGGCGTCGAGGGGCGATGCTTGGGCTCGAGGGAGCCGTGGCCGCACCACGCCCCCTTTGCGGGCAGCCCTGCCCCTCCGGCTGCGGTCAATCCCCGGGAAGCCCTCCCGCAGGCCGCCGAGAGCTCGCCACGCAGTTCTCCGTGGCCGCACCGTTCCGTGGAGCGCGGAGGGCGAGAAGGTTTTACGGAGGAATGAAGTCAATGATGGCAGCCTTGCCCCGGCAGGCCGTTGCACCTTGCGGGCGCCTCGGTTTTCGGGCAGCCCTCGCGCTAGCCCGCACCGGGCAGGAATTTATTGGTTTCTCTGGGGACACGGGGATACCGACTGGTCTGAGGTTGCTGCGGCCCCGCCTCTTCTCCGAGCGGGCCTGTCCCTTCGCTCTCCCCGGCCAAAGCGCTGCGGTCCCCGGAGCCCCTCCCGACCAAAAGAGAAAAAGGACCTTCTCTCCTTGAAACAGCGTTAGCGTGAGAGCATCGAGCGGCGGCAGAAGTGGGCTTCCAGGAAGGCGGGCAGCAGGGAGATTTACCGCGGGCCTTCTTTCCTCCAGCCCAATTTAGCAGGTGAGTCTCCCCTCCGCTCGCCGGCCCAGCCTGCCTTCCGGCGCCGGGTTCACCCTTCATTTCTTAAGTCGCGGGGCGGCGGCCTCTCCCCGGCACCTCCGTGGCTCAGGTGATGACGGCGCCGGGGAAAGGAGCGCGGAGGGAACGGGCTCTGGAGAGGCCCGAGGAAGTCAGAAGCGCCCTTTGCGGACCCCCCGGCCTCTCCTCCCCCTGAGAAAGAAGCGGCTGAAAGGGAGCTTGGCGGCCTGGACTCGCTGTTGCGGTGTCCTTAGCAAGAGATGTCCTTGTGTCGCCGCCTGCCAGGCTTCGAGGCCGAGGGTTGGCCCGGGAGCCACTTTCTTCTCTGGGATCTGGAAAACTGGCGGGGAGTAGCGATATTTTCCCGGAGCCACGGAGGAGAGAACTCTTCCGTGGACGCTGCTGGGGGTGGGCTGGGAGCAGGCTCTGCTGCTTTCCCAGTGACCGGCCAGAAACTCCAGGCGTTCTTTCCATTCGGAGTCTTCCTATACCAGTTCTTAGTTTTCGGCTGGGGAGGGATGACAGGCGTTGGGGGGGGGGCACCAGCTGAGCTGAGCATCAGGAAGGTCTCACAGTTGGCATGGATGCCGTGGAGGGCAGGAGGCTATCCTGGATCTTCTCTTGGGGTAACTTAGGCAAGCCAATTAAGCAGAGCAAATGGGGGAAGGGGAGAAGAGGGGAGCCGAAACTTCCAAACAACTCCTGCATGGGGGGAGTCATTCTGTAAGAACCCAGTCGGTTTCAACTTGGGGTGCTAGTTAGGGAATGGGGAAGGAAGAGGACGGCTAGAGCATAGAATTGGCCACTGACTCTGGGTCAGCCTCTTAGGGGCAATTGGCCACCCACCCAATATGTTTAAATGAGATGCATAGGGTTAGCACAATGCCTGTTGTATCACTACTACTGTGCATATTTACTCTTTTAGCTTGTTTCCTCTAAATTATAAGTAGACAAATTTAGGTGAGAATTTTCTAATAGAAGGAAGGAAGTCATTGGTATGGTGGAGTCAGGGAAACCAGCAAGGATCCTTCATGAAAGCCACAAGCCAGGAAGATGCTGACCCAGTGGCTGTGGAGCCAAAGGTGGCTGCACTCTCACTTCCTGGTGGGGAAGTGTGTGTGTGTGTGTGTGTGTGTCTGTCTGTCTGTCATTTCATTTCATTTCATTTCATTTCATTTCATTTCATTTCAACCATGAAGATTTTCTCCCTTTCCTCATAAAATGAAAACAAAAGATTTGGGGGCTTGCATGAAAAAGGGGGGCTTGAAGTATTTTGTGAACAGGATGAAATTTTGTTTTTGACCCAATTAACCCTGTTGATCAATGGCTCCCTCCTTTGCACCTCTCCCAATGAACTGAATGGCCTTTTAGTATGTTAAAAACAACTGCAAAAACGTATGATCATATAAAGTATTTTTGGCTACCAAGAGATGGCTAAAACCCCCAGTTTTGCATTTAAATTGGGTTATTTTGGATATATATTCTAAAATCTGACATAGATGTAGCTCCCTCCCTCACATACATACATACATACATGCAAAAGTAGTCTTTCTCATTACTGAACTCTCACACCTATCATCCCTAGTATAACATTATGTGTGGGGGGGTGGGGTGGGGGGAGGCTCTGGAGAGCCCATGTTTCTGTTTGCCTTGCCTCATACCAGTTTACCATTCAGTCTCTTTTCCCCAGGATTGGTGGTGCTTTTGCAGCTAGAGAAGAGCAAGAGGAGGGAAGCTCACCCATTTCCTGCCTGGCACCTCACAGGCCCCCTTTCTCTTTCTGGCCCTTGAAATGGGAGGGCAACACAAGGCTCTGCTGGGTGTGAGAGGGCAGCATCCTGGCAGAGGCAAATAAATATCCCTCTGACGTGGCTAGAAAGAGATCTGAAAGACAGAAGGCCAAGCAACATCTAAGCTTGAGTCTTTGGATCATGATAAAAAGCTCCATCTGTGAGGCAGCCAAGAATTCAGGCAGGAGCAGAAAGAGATGGAGGCAGAAGAGAGCCTTGGGGCACTCTGGCCTCCTTTGGGTTTCTCTACTTAGGCCTTTCAAGAAGCCAGGCATTTGTTGAGGGGCTACTGGCTTGGCAAGGAGGCCACGGGGCACTGCCTTTGCTGGAAACACTCTTCTCCGTGTGTGTGTGGGTGTGGGGGGGGGGGGCTCAGCAGAATGACCTTGGACCCCAGTCCTGCTAATCAGCCCCACCATGAGAAAGGAGGTGGAATTTGGAATTAGAGTGATGGGGAGGCTGCCCTGAGCAACAGGCAGGAAGGGGAAGATAGAGAAATCCAGAAGGCCAGGATCCTCCACTTCCCTTACAGGACATCTGCTGGGCAGAAAGCAACAATGAGAAGTGGGGCTGGATTCAGGCAACGTGAAAATGGGATGGGGAGAGATTGTGTCAACTTTGCAAAGCATTGACATCACAAGAATATGTTTTGGCTCATTGCCCAGCACCATTCCACACTTGTGGGGTTCTTCTGAGGGATGCTCACTCTCTCTCTCTCCTTAGGACTATAAGGCATAGTTTGTGCAATAGCGAAGTGATAGCAGTGGAAAGCACTTGCCCATGGCCCATTTCTAGCCTGAATGGCTGTTGTGGGGAAATCTGCCTAAAGGCCACTGCATTACAGAAATCTGGCTTAGCTGGTGCTTAGCCCTTCTCTTGGAAATTAGGGCATAATTTGGAGGCTCTGGAGTTTGAATTCTGCCTGCCTTTGGGAAAGAAAGACAGGTCCTTTTGCACCATCCTTCTTTGGGAAACAGATGGTCCATTATCAGCAAACAGTAGTTGGTCCTGGTCCTGGTCAGTCTAATTTATTCCTTTCACTGGATGGAATTCAACAAATAATTTCCTACTATTCCAAAATCCTTTTCACATGTACTGTTGGCAAACCAGGTAGCTAAAGATTCTTCATCTGATAACCATCCCAGCATCTTCAGATGTTCAACAGTTGGTTGCCTCATGATTTCCCAAGAAATCTTCCTGGGTACCAGGGTCAGACTGACTGGTCCATAGTTCTCCAAGTTTTCTTCTTCCTTCTTTCTGAAGATAGAATCAACATCTGCCCTTCTCTAGTTATCTGATATTCATTTTCCATTATTTCTCAAAAAGGTTCAGCCAACTGTCAATAAGTTCTTTCAGGACTTTAGAGTGCAACCTATTTGGTGTGGAACTTCTGCACACAAAGTAAATATTGCCAGGTATATTGAAGACTCAAATCCAACCTTGCCCCTTCCTGCTTTTCATGATTGCCTGGTGAAACATATAGACTCTTGAAGGAAATAGTCAGAATATAACTTCTCTCTTTCCTTTGTTCCTTGTTATCATTTCTTCATCTCCATGAAGCAGCTATATAGTATCCTGCTTTATTTTTTCTTTTCTTTGAAAGAGACCCCCCCCCCCGCTATCTCCTTCTGGGTCTTATTCTTGCTGATGCTCCCTCTGAACTTCCGGCCTGTCCCTCTGGGCTCTTCCTCCAAGGCCTCTTTCAAGCTCCTCATTTTGTCTTTCTCTTCTTCAGATCTTAACCAAACTTTGTGTAGTCAAATTTGCCTCTTCTTTGACTCATGGAACTGCTCATAATTTTATTGTCCATCTTAAGCTCTTTTTTTTATTATCATATGGTATTATTTCATAATTGCCCTGATCTTATTAAAATTAATCCCCCTTGGAATCCAAGCCATGGATTTGATTGCTGTTCAATTTCCCTTAAAATCAGGAACGTTGTTTCATGGCTTCTTTCCTGCTTTCCTGTTCCTGCTGCTTCCATGCATATGTTCCTTGAATTGGAAGGGAGCTTCTAGACCTCTGATCCTACTTCAGGTATTCCATCCAGGCACCTCCAGGAAGGTCAGAGGGTCAGCCATCCCAGTAAGAAATGTGTAGGAAGATGGGCTCCACGGTGTTCTGCCAACAGAGGTCTAGGAAGTAAAATTCCTCACCCCACTGTTTCACACCTCTTGGAAAAGTCTGTGATTTGCTTTGGGAAAACACCACCCATACTTTTAACAATATTGTATGCACTCCTTTCTTCACTTATTTTTACTCAAATAATTTATATTCATTCAAGTTTGCCAACCTCATTCACTTTGACTGCTTAACAGATCTGGATACTATGGAAATGCAATATAATTCCCATCCCTTTTTATTGTTTCTGCTCCTCATCATCTAATGGGATGTTCATTCAACCAGGGTATTCATGACTCCCTGCTTAAACCTTTAAAATATGTGTTGAAATGAAACTGCAGGGCACACAGCAGAGACTGACAAAATGAAAAGACAGGCATGTAAATTATTCTCACAATTCTATTGGCACTGCTGTGGGGGAGGGAAGGCCCCAGGCCCCCAGACTGCAGAAGCACTTACAACAAACCAGAAATCCCTTAATCTTTATTAAGTATTCTCTTGGTTATTCAAAACCATCCATGGTGAAGATTCATCAAGACTTATGCACTACAGCAAAGCAAACTACCCATCACCAAAACACTCCCATTTATTACGATGAATGTCCCAATTTGTCTCTCCTAGAAGGAACTGGTCTATCTCTGTATCAATTGTAAGAGGAAATCCTGGTGATGTTTGTGGAAAATAACCTGATTAGACCTTCACCATCCCCGCAGCATTTATTCCTTACTCGGCACTCTTGTATGGGACTCCCTCCAATGTAAGACGTATATTTTCTTCCACACTGTACTTAGAAACTATGGCTATACATGCAGACCAGTGTGCATATATTCATTCATTCATTCATTCATTCATTCATTCATTCATTCATTATTGTGCAGATAAAATTGATCTTCACCAGTGATTGAATCTGGAGAACAAAGAGATGGAAGAATTTCTGCTTGTCGTGGACCATTGGGTGTTTTTAAGGAAATGGCAGCAGGAAGAGATTTGAGTGCATTACATGGCAGAACAAATAAAGAAAAATGCCTGAGGGTTTAGGATAGAAAATTATATTTAGGTGTCAATAACATTGAAAGCTGTAGATTAGGATGCACTTCTTTATCCATAGGATGAAAATCTCCAGAACGACAGGGTAAATATTTTGCCAGAATTTTCTAATTGTCTTGGGTTGATAAAGAACTGATTTTCAAGCAACTGAATTCTGCTAACAGTCAAGAATTTGTCACACTGAATAGTCTGTTTCCAGGCAACCTTGTTAGCTAGTGAACTAAAGTAGTTTTTTTTAATGCACATAGAATAAGTGGAATAAATAAAAACAGGAAATGTAGCTAAGGCAAGGACCCCCCCACTGGCAGTAAGGTGAGCTCCAGTACATAAGTCTCCATCCCTTGCAAAAGGCTTTGTGCATCAGTCACGACTCTCTGGAAGACAGCAGGAAGCACTGCTGGCCATAGTCTTTCCAGCTATTTCAGTCTGTGGAAGACTTGCTTGGTGCTCTCCTGCCATTAGCTCTGATACAGGCTGTTTGCCAAAAGGAGGCAGGCAAGGAGGGGGCGGCACTGTCTGCACCCGTCCTTCCTCATGCTGCCGGTCAACTGCCAAATCCAGAAGAAGGGGAGGAGCAGCCTGCCTGTTGGGCAGCTTCAGGAAGTGAAGCTATCCTGTGGGTCTCCAAGCAGCCAACAACCTGGCTAGTGACAACCTATGGGAGCTCAGCAGCCTTTCCCTTCCAGACAGCAATCGCCTGCAGAAAGCTGCCGGTGCTGAATGACGGGGCCACAGGGCATCTGGCATCGCCATGCCAAGACGGACCCAAAGAGTTGGCTTCTTATAGTATTCAGTCCAAGTGTTTGGCTGTAAAGGCAGCTTCCTCTGCATTAATAAACAGCTTGGTAGCCTCACAAGAGGCTTATGGGTCTCCCCTTGCTCTGAGCAGCTTGTCTCCCCAGATGTCTGCTGTAGGGATAGGGATTTTGCTAACCTTCCCCTCCCCCCTCCATCTCTGGTATAGAATTTGTACACCTGCAGTTTTTCACAGGCAGCTGGAGGGCTGGCAGTATCTAGCCCAGATCTGCAGCGGCACTGCAGCAGCAGATGGGAATCCCTATGTTCCAGCAAAAAAGATCCAGCCTCTGCTGGCGATTCCTTTTTTAGAACCCACACAAGGGATGCGAAAAATTCTGGGAAGCTTCGTGTGTTCCTTAGACCGACTATGAAGTTTCAGAATCCCCTGCAGAACCCCAGGGTATATAAATCAAACCCCAAGGTTGCTTCTCTACATTGCAAGAAAAGGCCATCAAACCCATCTCCCCACCGAGGAGCAGTTAAGTCTTTAAAACAAATTAAGCATACAGAATCATAAAATGCCAGCATTATAAATACAACTTTAATTAATGCATAGGCTATAATAACTTGAAATTATATACTTATCAAAGGAATAATTTGTGTTGTCTATGCTTATAACTGTGAGATACTTTTTTAAAAAAAACCCATCTAATGTAAAATATAGCAAATGGTGATTTTTTTAAAAATATGTTCAGTCACCATTTCTTTGAATCTGCATTTACTTTTACACTGCATTATGAGAATTGTAACATCTTCACAGAATCTGGCTGCATGCTAAGTTAGGCTTTGCTGAATTAAGCCACACTTGCTTGGATCCCCATGTTGCCTTAATCCAGAATAGAATCTTAAAGGAAAAATTGTGGCTGAAGGGCCCTCCCCACCATGCCTTTCCCCCTTGCACTCTCTAGTGGAAACGGAGTATCTGCCTGCCAATTCCACTTAGCCCTGTGTAACTTCAGTCATTGCCATCCAACCCAGCCTGTCCCAGAAAACCTGAGAACATATTGTTCCACATCCTAAACTGCCCCACAGCCTGAAAGGGATGGAGGAAGCCTGCCTTGAGAGCAGCTGTGCTGGATCAGCTTGAGATCATAATTGAGGAAGGCGGGTGAGCAAGTGATGAGGAAAGGGAAATGCGGCCCTCTCCACTTCGTCCTCCTGGGCTGCCCTTTGCCAGAGGAAGAGCTGCTTTTGTGGTGGCCTTTCCTCTGACCAGCCAGGGTTGATACTGCCATGGGCTTTGGGTGCCTGCCTGGGGGGCTGATATTCCTGGGCGATTCCCAGCCTCCTTTTCCTGGTGCTGCTGTTGAGAAGGGGCTATGAAGTAGTAGAGCGAGGCTGCTTAAAGACAGGAGCAGCAACATGAAGGGCCCATAGCAGACAGAGGCTTTATGCATGTGGTGGATAATAAATTGAGGGATACTGTTAAATATGGAAACACATCCTTTAATGTGACTATTAAATGAGGCTAGAGGCATCACAAGGAATTCTGTAATATTTTCCATACATAGAGGAAGTAATCAAAGCCTCTTAAAGTTTCAGTGAAATTAGCTGGAAACCATGAAAACCATGGAACCGTTGCCTGTGTTATTTCCCTCTGCATCTCAGGAGGAAAGACATCTATTTGAAGCCCTCAAAGTGGGGAGAGGAAAAAATCATGGTGGTGCCATCCCAGTCAGCTGTTCTTTGGCCCAGCGGGAAAAATGTCTGAGGGCTTCTAATGTTTGTGGGCAATGTATCTCTTGGGTTAATTAAAAACAGGACTTGGGGATTTGCCCCTACTCTGTGTATGGAACTGTAGACTTCAAAAGTTAAGCCAACACCCCTCAACCCAACAAGATGCTCTCCCCCAAAGAGCAGAGCAAAACAGACCCCAAAACAGATCACAAGGGGAAGAGTCTATCTTGCAAATGTTGGCTGTTTTATGGAGAGGGACTGGGTAGGACACCATCTGTTTGGATAAACCCATCCTAACCCTCCCCCCAGTCTTAGCTGTCCCATTTGACTAAATTTAGGAAGGTTCACCTGCCAGGTCATCTTGGCCCACTTAACCAGCACTACCCTTTCCCCAAGTCCCATTAGCTTTTATTGATTATTTAATAAAAAGTATTTTTTTACCATTTTAATTTTAAAAATTAATAAATTCTAATGCCACCCATCTCCCATATAAGGTGATTCAATATGGGGACCAGGGACTCTGGAAACTGCAAGCAAACACATATGAAGCCCCCTGGGATGGCATTGGAACAGGGTTAATTTGCTGCCCAACTCCTGTCAAGCAATGCACTCCCCTTGCTCTCCTCTTGCCTCAAAGTGCTCCTTGCCACCACAGACTGAACCTTGCAGCACCTTCTGCTGGCGTCAGTTCAAATCAGGCAACCTGGAAAGCACAGGGGGAAAAAGTATTTTAGTTGTCCCACATACTTTGCTCTCAACACTTTTCCCAAGCAAGCCAAACAGCGCAGGCTTTCTCTCTCAGAAGCACTTCAGCACCCTGGCCAGCACCCTCTGCCAAGGGAACCCGGATGGGAATCTTGCACTCTTTAATTGTTTTCAAAATCATCCTACTGCGTTTCAGTGATGAGTTATATCTCATGTCCTCATAATGAACGATCCAAGCCCCAGTCCTCTCGCCAGCCCGTCTAAGGCCATTTCTGAGTCTTCCATGGGGAAGGGACTCCCTGACATTATTGGCTGTCCCTTCTGTTATATCCAATGGGGAAAATATCAGCCCTAAAGCAACTTCGCTACATTAATCAGAGAAATAACAATCATAAATCCAAGATGAAGAAAGCCTACATTATTCAACATGTTGGGTGTCCTTTGTAAGGGGTTGCTGAGAAACCGGCACTCCTACTCCTTGTCCTGAAAGAGAAGGGCCTGTTTAAACAAACTGTCTCTCCCCCTCTGATTGACAAATGCTCCAAGCCAGAGCCAGAGCATGGAGCAGTTTTCTTGCCCTCCTTTGCTTGGCTATTTGATCTCTCCTTGGCAGCTGAATTTCCTCCATTCGAGTCTGCTTCTCCCCTAAGCTCTTCAAGTCTCAGTCCTTCCCCAGTAGATCCTGGGGTTCTCTGGAGGGGGGGAGGGGGGAAAGCCACCTCCCTGATGCAGCTCTGCTGTGAAAGGACCTGCGAACCAGGTAGCAAGCAGCTGCTTGGTGCTTGCCAGAGTTTCTTCCTCGCACGCTCTTTGGTCCCCGCCAAGTTCTGGGGCTGAGCCAGGCAGCTTTTTAAGATTCTGATCACAGATGGGGCTGGATTTCGAAGGCTTGAGAGCTCAGAGCCTCCCTCGCTCTTTCCACAGGCGCCACCATCGCCAATGACAAGCGAAGGAAGCAGCAGCGAGCAGGCTGGAGCAAGCTGTCCCTGCTCTTGGGTGCTGGATGCCGACAGTGAGTAACTCGCAAGCAGAGGAGGATGCTGGGGGGGGCTCCAGGCTAGTGGGAGGAAAAGTGGGGCAGCACTCACTTTGGGGTCTCCTGCTATGAATGGAGGGTTTGGTTGTCCCTGCATCAAAGTGGACCCTCTGAAGCAGCCTCACCCCTCCCAGATTTATTAGGAGGAGCCAGAATTGCTGAGACAGAATTCCTTGGCTGTATCCAAGCACAAGCTAGGCAGCAAAAACTAGACATGAGGAAGAAAATCAAGCCAGAGACTGGGCATACAGATGTTAAGGGGTTTTTTGTGTGTGTGAAAGCCTTACAGGAGAGGCAGGAAGAAAATTTCTTTGCCTGGAACAGCTGGGACTGGCACTCGGTAGGCCTTTCCTTGAGCCAACCAGAAGCTTCCTGCCATCAATTCCTGGCTTTTATCTTCTGCTCTGGTGGCCATATTCTGTCACTGAATAAGGAGGGCCCACAACACCTTGTAGGACTGCTTAGTCCAAGCAAGGAGTGGAAAACTCAGAGTGCCTTAAACAGGCAGCCCCAGGGCAGATTTTTCCTTTCCAGAAAACGACTTCTGGTCTATTTTTGGCTGGTCCTGGAGCAATGTTTTTTTCCCCATGGGATTTCCCTCCTAGGACCAGTTCCATGAAATTGGTTGGTCCAGAGACAAACTGCTGAAGGGAATTAAAGTTAGGCTCCCCACCTTCTGGGCTGGTTACATTTAACCCAAGCAACTGACTGGACCAGCCTGGGTTGTCCATCAAATCAGAAAAGGGTTTCGGTGGAGTTCTGGTGCACAGCCCCCATGGGTCTCTCTCTCACGCTTATGGATCTCCCTTCTGCATCTCCCGCTGGCAACAGGGAATATGGTCAGGAAGGTCCGTTTGATCTGAATAAGGGCAGCATCTCAGGACAAGAATTTCACCTGGGCTGTCACAGAGGATCAAGAAGCCAGAAGTCCTTGCGTGAAAATAATTCCTCTTCAGCACATCTCAAGCACCACTGAGGGAAACAGCCAATCTCTGAGCAGGGCCACAAACCCATCCCCCACAAGCATGCACACCTGGAGCTGTGCCAGCAGTGGTGGCATTGCAACCCTATTTACCTGGAGTGGGATTTGGCCCATTTTGCTCTGCTTCCTGCAGGGGCTGTTTGTGCTGGTCCCGGGAAGCTCTGCTGCAGCCTTCCTCCAGCTGGGACAAAAAACAGCCCCTGAATCCTTCTCACCTAGAGCCCCAATCCAAGGAACTGAGCTACCAGTCCACAGAGGTTCTCAGCCACCCAGGTCATGGTTGTCCCAAAGGTGCTTTTTCAGGAGGCAACTGGACATTCGTGTTTCCCTTTTTGAAGACGTTTCCCTTCTCATCCAAGAAGCTTCTTCAGCTCTGACAGGATAGTGGGGAATGGGAGGATTTAGATTCCTTGCAGACAGCTGGACATTTGCATCTTTTTAGAGGCTCATTGAAGCACTTGGGTCCTCGGGGTCAGCTGAGTGGTGCTCCTGGTCCCAGACTACAGATTACCTCATTCTCTTTGGCCAAGGCACCTGCTGATTCTTAGGGAATGTGCTGAAGTGTAACATCCCAGGAAGATTCCTTGTGATTTGTCACCAAACTGACAGCACTCATCAGGGTGCACTCGGGTGGCACCGACTGGATGTGTCCCCGCAAAGATCATTCTCAGCAATGTTTTACCTTGATTTTTCTACAGCAGAGATCTGAGAGATCCAGGAAAATCACCACTTGCTAGTAGGATCTCCATCCAGCTTCGTTCCTGGCAATGGGGACACTTATTTGCATAGAACTCTAAGGATGTATACTAATTATGCAAGCTGCTCACAATAGTCAGCATAGGAAGGAGTAAAGGAAGGCCACTTGTTTTGCTCCCATGGGCTTGCAGATTGTAGTGGGGGAGTGGTTGCGCTTGCCCAAAGATCTCAGGGAAGCCCAAGTGCTGCTGGCATTTTTGTTCCAAGGAAGAGGAGAGCGGAGTGAACGAGGTTTTCCCTAAAATGCAGATCAGGGAGAAAAGCAAGGAATCCGCCGGGTGCCAGAGGCAAGGACCCGGCTGAGAGAGGCTAGCCGGGCCAGCCAGCCAGCAGGAAGGCAACTTGCCTGCCTGCTCAGAACAGCTCTCTAGCCAGTGGCCACAAGCATCTAAAAGCCCTAAGTTTGCAAGGGTCCCATGACTCCCCCATCCCCCGAGAGAGGCTGGGGAAGCAGGGCTGGAAGTGGGGGAACCTGGCTGGGCCAGAAGCAATGTCTCCCAGCAAGGAGAGGCAAGTGGCCCCCTGCTCCTTCTTAGTAACCCTTAGGGATCCTTGCCTTCCCAGTCGTTCTCCTTGGATTCAAAGGCAGAAGCAAACCAGCCCCGCTCCATCTTTGGGGTGGGGAGTGTTAGATTCAGCTTAGAGTCCGCACAAGCGGAGAAGCCAAGTGACAGGGGCTGTGAACACTCTGGGATATCATCAGCAAACATGAGATCTAGCAACAGAATTTTAATTTGTACTGAGAGGCAGGAAGCTGCCAGTCAGCCCCAAACCCAGGCTTTCCCTGGTGGTGGCAAGTGCTGCACAGGAGAAATGCCTCCGCCTGACCTCCCTAGAGATGGGGGGGGGAGGGCAGGGATGCCCTCTCTCTCTCCCTCCCAGAGCAGCCATGTTGGGCAAGGGAAATCTCTTCTTGGTAGAAGATGCTCTAGATTGCTGGGTTTACTGAGCACTGGCACTCCAAGAAAACACATGTGAGAGGATGACAGGACCTGTTCCACCGCCTGAGCATCTTGAAGGGTGGATCCCGCTTGGATTCTTCCTCCCTTCTTGCATTTCATGTTGGGGCTGCTTTCCTCCCTCCTCCCTCGAGACTCCTTCGCAGAGCTTGGTCCTCTGGCATGCCAAGTGCCAGGAGATGGTTCAGTCTGGGAGACGGGCAAGGCTAACTGTGGGGCTGACCCCTCCACTGGCATCCGGATGGTCCCTCCCGGGCTCGGAAGAGGAGCCCAGGTGTAGCCAAGGAAGGGGGCACAAGCAGCTCCCACCCTCATCTCTCCTGTTTTGTGTCTCTGCATGCCCAGGCATGTGACGCAGGCGGAGCACTGCTGGGATGATATGGAATGTGACCAGTTGCCTGCAGAGGCCCTTCGACAGGTGAAAGTCCAGCGTCACCCTGTCTATGGATTCGGTTTTGTGGCCGGAAGTGAGAAGCCGGTGGTAGTTCGCTCGGTGACCTCAGGTGCGGCAGGAAAGGCCCCATAGAAGCGGGGCCAGTGAAAGTCACAAGTACAAGGAGTTGGGCAGGGGGGATGGGCTGTTCATGGGGGACAGCTACGTCAGGTTCCCTCCTTCCCCAAAGCCATGAGGGAACAGGACAAAGTGGGAATGTGCAACATTTCAAAACAGGCAATTCTGATCGTTTCAAGGTCAAAACAGCACCTTTTAACTACAGAGAGCTTGGGTCAACCACCCCTCCCCTCCCCTCCCGATGGTAAGGACAGCCTGTTCCTGGACCCAGGGATTCCAGCTGCAAAGGGGGGTGCAGGCAGTGAGACAGCACAGCCAGGCAGGGGCTGAGGTGCTGTGGGGCCACCAGCACATGATGGAAACCTCAAAGGCCACACAGGGGCTGCCATGCCCCCAGCCAAGCTCACAGCAACTACCCTTTCTTTGGCAGGAGGGCCATCAGAGGACAAGCTGTTGGCAGGTGACCAAATTTTGGGCATAAATCACGAAGATGTAAGTGACGCCCCCAGAGAAAGAGTGATAGAACTTGTCAGGTAAGAGCGGGATGCCAGAATGAAAGGGGAGGAAGCCTTGGAGGACCTGGACTGCTCCGGAAGGGGCTGCCTTAAGCCCACCCAGGGCTCTTCCCAGAATTGACTGCTGGCACATTCTGCATAATCTTTGGGGTAGGGAAAAGTGCAACCTGATCCCCGCACCCCCACCCCCGACATCGAGGGCTGAGGCATCCTAAGCAAATCCATTGTTGGGGGTGGGAGTGCAAGAAAGACTTGGGCTTGCAAAGAGGAAACCTCCACCCGTGGACCCAGGGAATGACTCCCTCTCTTGCTGCAAAGCTCCACAGAATTCTCCTGAACGCAGCTGCTTCTCCCCTTCTCGTTGCAGAGGCGCCAAGGAGGCCCTGGTCCTTACAGTACTACAGACTCATCAGGTGGGAGCCCAACTTTGGGGTGGGGAGGGCACCACCTTTATGCCAGCAACTATTGTTCATCTCACATGCAGAGAAATGGCTGGTCCCCCCCAACAGGCTGGACCACAGGCTTCCTGATCCCACTCAGCCCCCGCTGCCTTGTTGTGCAAACGTGACGTGGGGTGGAAGGAAGGCTGGGTGGCTCCAGCTGCCTGAATGTGCTATCCCCAAGCCAAAAAAACAGCCAGGGCATGAAAGGGAAATGCACCCTTTTCAACAATTAGCAGCAGCGGCAGCAGCAGCATCCACCGCCGCAGCCAATCTTGGCTATTCTTTTTTTTTAAAAAAAAACAAAAACAAGTTTTATTAATTTCAAAAACAAACAAATCATCATCAACCATTACATATTTGAACCTTTTTCCATTATAAATTTTACAAGTCAGATAAACCTTATCTTATACAATACAGTTCTATTTTAAACCATTTCTAAATAAGCATAAAAACATCTCTTGTCCTCTATTTCTTTCTGACTTGATTATCGTCATTCTCTTTCTGTGTTTCTAGAAGGTTTCACCAATACTTCTCAAAAACATAAACAGACACAAACAAACATATAAAAAACCTTTTAGTAAAGTAACTTGGCCCCCGGTACCTCTCTTTATATGGGCTTTAATTATATTCATGCTCATCTTGTATCTTCTATATATACTTCTCCACACATTTCACTCTTCATAATTCTATCTTATTCAATCCATCTTAATTTAAATCATTATATTTGTATCTTTTGCCCATCCTTTATTATCCCTCTATCTCATTCCTTATAATGAAAAAAAAAAAGAATTTCTCCTGAAATCTCTAATCAGAGTATGATGCCTTTCTATCCTCTCCCTAAATATTAGATTAACATTTAAAATAACACCTAATACCCAATCTGATTCTGCTTGGTACATTCTATCTATTAATTTTTACTTTTAATAACAATAAAAACAGAGTAATAAATCAAAAATGTTTAAATACATAGTATCCTCCTAAATACGTAGTTGAATAATAAATCTAAATAATAAATTTTATAGCATTCTCATTGCCTTTCCCTTCAATATTTTATTACGTTTTAAAAATCAATCATTATTAAACATTTCAACATTTTAATTTCTTATTAACTCTTAAGCCATTCTAATTTTCTATTTCTAATACAAATATTACAATACCGTCTTATGTACCTTGCAAAATCTTTTTAAAGAAAATTTATACTTCACCCTTTATCCCTAAAAAAGATTCCTCTTTTCCCATCCAATTTTAAAACTTTGTGGCTTTTCTCCGCCTTTCCCCTTTCTTTCTTCCCCCACCAGATCTTCCTACCCCCCTTCTTCTAACCTCTGTCTTGCTGGCATCCCTTCTCTGTTGTATTCCCTTTTTCGCTTGTTTGTTATCATTGTATTTATTTTGCATCATATTTTTCTCTTTCTTAAATGTTTTTTTAGATCTTAAGTCCTTCATTTTCCTCGCTTTCTTCCTTCCTTCTTTCTTAGATAAATTTTGGGATTCATTAAAGATGGTGTCTTCGTCTTCTTCTTGTTGTTGTTCCATCTGTCGCATTGTCTGTTCATAGTTAACCAGCGCCATTTCTAAAAATAGAAAAGCTTTTTCCATACCATCTTTACAGGCTGCTTTTGTTTGCTCATATTCATCCCTCAGTTCCTCAAAGGAGAAAGCCATTATAAATCTTTTCTTTTCTTTTTTCCCTCTTTCTTCTCACTCCAACCAAAATATTCCAAAAGAAAAATAAGACAATCCCAAAGTCCACAATCCTCAATCAATCCAAGCCAAGCCAAAATTTCCTCTTTCTCTTCCAGGGTAGTATCAGACAAAGGAAAAAGAAAATCCAAATCTGTGTTTTGAAGCCTTATTAAAATTTTATTTCTGTCTCCAAATCCTTAAGGCATCTCCTCCAACAAAATCCAACCAGATAAATATATTTTTTGTCCTCTCCCTTCCGACTTATCCCATAAAGCTAGTTTAACCTGAAAAAAAAACAGGTTTCTCAATATCCGTTTGTTAATTCCGTCGGGAGGGAGAGTAAACTTTCCTTTCAGCACCTCAGAATTGCCGCTTACTTTCTCTTGTGGAAAGAATCATCCAAAAAGCCATCACTTCCAGGAATTAAATTAAATATATCTCAGAGTCCTGGACCGACCAAGAAGACTTTCACTTTTAAAAACTTTCTCCTCTTCCTCCTGCGCATACTTGCCCAGCTGCCGGCTTCTTTGTGGCGGCCATTACGGACCGCCGCTACGCCGTCTTGGTAAAAGGGGGTTCTGCCGGCCAGGGAGGGGGTCTGCAACACCCCCAAACCCTTTTCCGGATCCCCCCTACCTTCAGCTGCCCCTGCAGGGCAGCCTTGCTCCGCAGCCTTTCGGATCGGAGCCCCAAAAGTGGCTAGCGCGGCAGGGATCGCGCAGCTTCGCGAATCCTTACCGCTCGCAAAGCCGACAAACCGGAAATCCCCAATCTTGGCTATTCTGACGGTTGTGCCCTGGAAGGGCCAGGGTCTGGGGTTCACGCCACAAATGCCAGGCCGAAGGGGATACTGCTGCTGCTGCTGCTCTGTGGCCCAGAGACAGCACTGGTTTTCTCCTCTGTTGATAAACTGGAGGTGATGGGGAGCCACCGGGCCACCCATTGCAGCATTCCTAGGACATTCTGGGCCTGGGTTTTCTCTGGCCTTCTTGGGGCTCCTTTGCTCTGGGAGGGGGGGGAGAGCCAACTGCTGGCCTTTGCTTCCCAGACCACCAGCTGAGCTCGAGGGGCAGGACAGTCGAACAGTCAATGGTGCCTGTAGTGGCGAAAGTCAGCTCGGTGCCTTTCTCCTCCAGAGGCTGTGTGGCCATTGGCTGCACCTAAGGGCGAGAGCCATGAAGGCACCTAGCTGTCACCCTTTGGAGAGCAGCATGGCCAGACCCTCGTTGGCCTCAAGCACCAGCGGAGGCAAAGCCTTTGGCCCATCAAAACCCCAGGGGGCAGGTAGAGCGTCCAGCCCAAGGAAACGGCTTGCAGGCTTGCTTGGTTGGCCAGAGCTCACCTCACGCGCATTCTCTTTGCAGTCTCCCAAGTCAGCCTTTATCAGTGCAGCCAAAAAGGCAAAACTGCGGTCCAATCCGGTGAAAGTTCGCTTTTCGGAGGACGTCACCATTGGCGAGACTGATCCAGTGAGTGCCTCCCCAGGGGACCCCTCTGCTCCCCTCTCCCTCCCTCCCTCGCAGCGTGGTTGGGGGAAAGCTCTCCAAGGCTCCCCTATCTAGGAAGCACCGCTGAGGCCAGCGGATAGAACGTGCCTCCTGCATGCCCAGAAACTCTGGTGTGGGGTGGGAAGGGCCCTTTGAGACTATTGAGAAGGTCCATGTATCTCAATTTGGTAATGGAAGTAAAGGGGGCCAAGTTGTTTCTGGGGGCATCTGTCAAACTTCCCCAGGATCTGGAGGCAACCGTTTCAGTTTATGTTCCAGTCCATGTGGAAAGTCATGGTTACAACTCTTTTGGGCCAGTCAGGAGACAGCTGACCCCTCCCCACACAGAGACCAGGCTCATGCCTCTGCGCTTTCGGCCTCCAGCCTCCACCTGGTCTTCCGGCCCAGCTGAGAGCACCTCTGGCGATCAGGGGTGGCAGGGGGTGCATGTTGGGCCAGTCCTCCAGGGTCTCCTACCAGAGTTCGTTCCCCCGCAGTGGCTGATCCCAAGTGTGGCTGATGCGGTCTCCTTTCCCCCCTCCCCTCCCCTCCCGTTCCTCTCCCCCTGCCCCACGGGGGTTCCCCAAGGACATGCTGAGGAAGGAAGCCCTCCTCCTGATTCCAAACGTGCTGAAGGTTTTCCTTGAGAACGGACAGATCAAGTCCTTCACCTTTGATGGCCGAACTACTGTCAAGGTAGGGGGCTGCCACAGGCGACCCACCAGGCTAGTCCGGAGGCGGCTTCCCTCGGTGGAGAGGCACCCTGCGGGTAGAGTACAGATACAGCCTCTCCCTTCAAATGGCCCAGCCAAGGTGAAATGGGGGGTGGGTGCCTGGCCTCATTCCTTTAATTCTAAGGGCTGCTAAACTGCTGGACTCCTGTCCCTGGAGAACCTCCCCCTCCATGCTAGGCCTCCCTGGGAGGGGGGGACACCCCCGCCCATTAGCTCCTCTCTTCCTCTGGCCAGGATGTGATGACAACCCTGCAGGATCGGCTGTCCCTGAGGCAGATCGAGCACTTCTCCCTGGTCCTGGAATATGCCAGTCCCGAACAAAGCCACAAGTTCCTCCTTCTGCAGGACAAACAGCCCCTGGCCCACGTAAGCGCCTGGCCCCAACCCGTCCAAGGGGGGCTTTATTCTCTCTGCTCCTCACGGCTTCCATTGGAAGGGCTGCTGACCTGCTCTGCTCCTGGCATGGCTTGGAGGAGCGGGATAGAGGGGGACTGCGGACAACACAAAGGGGGGGCGGGGGGGGCGGAATGCTTACGCTTCAGAAAACCGGCTCACGGCTCCCTATTATTGTGCAAGCCAACAGTGCAGTGCTGGGCTGTCCAGCATCAGCAGAGATAGGATGTCGAGATGATGCCACCACTGGTCATCCACACCTGGAATACGGTGTCCAGTTCTGTTCCACAAAATACAAGGCTGAGGAATTGGAGGACAAACAGCAAAAAAGCTAGTAAGACTAGATGCTACAAAGAAGAGAAGGCCAAAAGCCCTCGTGACTGCAGCTGCCAAAACTTTCAAAAGCTATTCCAGGAGGAGGAGGAGAAAAAAAAAAGGGGGGGGGGCTTTATTCTCTGCAGGGTAAAAGAAGGACCAGCCATCAGGTAGGAGCTTTCCAGAGAGATCCAAGCTTGAAACATGGAGCAATTTCCTGGCTATGAGAGCTATTAAGGACAGCTTGCCTTCTGGAGTCATGGAAACTCCACCAGGGAGGCTTTCAAGCAGAGATTGCAATTGCAAAGCTGCTCTGGAAGCCTTCCCGCCCTGGGGAGATTTTGTAAGGTAATCTTGCCAAGCGTCTGGGCTGGGAAGGGAGGAGAGCACTGAAGGGGGCTTGAAGCCGGCGCAGCGTTGAGGGAGGCAGAGGCGGCCCTCCACTCTGCTTAGAAAAGCCGAGCCAATTCCCATCTGCCAGATGCAGGCCTCCCAATGCTCCCCTCTGCTTCTCCACAGGTGGTACAGAGGACGCACTACCAAGGAATGCGATGCCTCTTCCGGGTCAGTTTCTTTCCCAAAGACCCCGTGGAGCTGCTGCGAAGGGACCCGGCAGCCTTTGAGTACCTGTATATCCAGGTGAGCAGGGGTGGGGTGGGAGGAAGAGCCCCAGGTGCAGGGCCTCCCAGCTGCACAGTTTCCCCTTGCTTCACAGCAGAGGGGCTGGTCCTCCTTCTGCCTTGGCTCAGGGTGGTCTGCAACTGCCAGCCAGCGGCCCCAGGAGCCCAGCAGTGCTGGGCCAAGACCTGGACAGGGCCTCCTTGGGGGTGGGGGAGCAGCTCTTCTGAGCAGCCTCGCTTTGTTTCCCCAGAGCCGCAATGATGTGATCAGAGAGCGATTTGGGATGGAGCCCAAGCCGGAAATGCTGCTCGACCTGACTGCCCTGCACATCTACATCACAGTTTCGGCCACACGGCCAAGCCAGAGAGTCTCTCTCAAAAGCGTAGAGTAAGTTCAGCAGTGAGAGAGAGACGCAGCAGCTTCCCCTCCCCACCTCCCAGTCACACACAAGCCCCTCCCGAGGGTTCAGAATCCCCCTACCCCAAGCTGGCCTTTGTGGCAATGTTCCGGCCTTCAGCCTCCTCTGGTCAAGGACCTGGTCCTTTGCGGACCCTTTACACTCCTCCCTGGCAGTAGATGCCACACGTGAGCCAGAGGGTCCCGTGCCTGTCTTCCCCAAGCCAGGGATCCCCCGAGGGCGGGCGGGGGGGAAGGAAATCCACCTGGCCTGCCTCACCAGCCCTCTCTCCCTCCTCCTGCCAGGAAGGAATGGGGCCTGGAGCCTTTTCTGCCCCCCTCGCTGTTGCAAGGCACCAAGGACAAGAGCCTCCGGAAGGCCCTGTCTCAGCAGCTGAAGGCCCATCAGAACCAGCCCCCCTGGGGCACCAAGGCAAGGCAGGGGTGCAGGGAGGGCCCCAAGGGGGTGGAGCAGAGGGACCCCTCTGGCCCAGAAGGTGCTCCAGCACAGGCTATCCCAGGATCCCCAGAGCCCTTCCAAAGTGGTGCTGCCTCCCCCCACCAAAGCCTCCTCTCTGGCCAAGTTGGCATCTTTTTACACAAGATTCATAGGAGCAGGGCTAGAGGGCATCTAGACGAATCTCTGCCGTTGTGTTGCTCTGTGCAGGCTGATAGCGGGGCAACTTAAACATATCCAAAACCAAGTTTCTTGCTGAAAGGTAAATTGGTTCTGGAAACAAAATTAGCCTCTGTTGCTAGAAGTTGGGAGCTTTTATTCCTGAATATTAGACAGGTCGTGTTTTCCGACATGCCATCAGATGTGCATAATCTACCTAAAGAAAAAGTGTACAATGGCTTTCTTTTTTCTACAAACTGTCTTTCCCTTGGACGTTCCTCTGTATATAGCAGTAAATGGCATAGGAAGGTTGATAGGCAATTCTACCTAATGTAAAATAAGCTGATGGAGAAAAACATCCCCCCCACACCCTTTATTATTTTTATAGATAACTCAAGGCGGCAAATGCACCTAATACCATTTCCTCCTCCTATTTCCCCCACAATCACCCTGTGAGGAGAGTTGGGCTGAGAGGGAGGAACTGGCCCAGCTGGCCAGCCAGTTTTTATGCCTAAGCGGGGATTAGAACGCCCCACCTCCTGGTTCCTAGCTGTCCAGCAAAGGGGCCGTGAGGACGCAAGCAGAAAGTCCAAATCCAGCTCTTCTGGGAAAATCTCTCCTGGCTTCACACACCTGGGCTGAGCCTGAGAGGAGAAGGCTGACCAAACCTCCCTCCACAAGCCCAGCCCAGGGGAGGCCTCAATCCAGCATGGGTCAGCAGGGCTGCAAGAGAAGCCATCCCCTCTGCACTCAGAAGCAGACTGGCCTTGGGGAGAGTGCCCCCTGCTGAACCAGGCAAATGGTCCCTCAGGCGGTTGGGCCACAAGCCAGCTAGACTTTTCAAGGTCAATGCCAGCATATGAACTTGTGCTCAGGAAACAGTTGGCAGCCAGGGCAGGTCTCCCACTGCAGGACTAGTTTGCATCAATTCGTAGCTTGACTGGCACAGCAAAACCCAAGAAGAACCCCCTGCAGTAGTCAAGCCAAGGAAATTTGCTAGAGCTGAACTGACTTCAACTTCCAGAACAGCCATCTGCATCCTGCATTGTTGCCAGGGCAGAGTAATTCTTGAGGGGATCTTGGCCCCCTGGCATTCTGAAGGAGAAAGATGCCATCTCTCCCCCCAGATCACCACCACCCAAGCGAAGCTCCACTACTTGCGCCTCCTGAATGAGCTGCCCACCTTTGCAGGCGTCCTCTTCAGCACTGTGGGACTGGTATAGTAACCCTGGCGGGCAAGGGAGGGGAGACCACTGTGACGGGCCCCCTGCCAGACCCCGAGGCTGGCCTCTGCCCTTCTGTCTCTGACTGGCATCTCATCCCGTACAGGGTGAGAAACAGCCAGCCACCACCCTTCTGGTGGGGCCTCGCCATGGCATCAGCCACGTCATCGATCTGAAGACAAACCTCACCACCGTGCTGTCCGAGTTCAGCAAAGTCAGCAAGATCCAGCTCTTCAGGGAGAACCAAGGGGTGGCCCGGGTGGAAACAAGCATCCTGGACACCAAGGTAGGTCCAGCTGGAAGGACTCCTGAGCAGGGCAGTTGTGGAGCCTTTCGTGGCTAGGCACATCAGCTTTCCCTCCCGAGAAGGTTGTCCCGTGGCCAGGCAGGCTCCTGACCCTTTGCCTTCTCCTCCCTTCCTTCCCAGCCTCTGGTGCTGCTAATGGAATGGCCAGAGGCCACCAACTTCACCTGCCTCATTGCTGGCTACTGCCGCCTTCTGGTGGACTCCAAGCAGATGATCCTTTCCCGACCCACCAGTCAGCCACCATCGCTTCCACTGACCAAGGCAGGTGCGTTTCATCCTCTGAGATTTGTGCCCCTTGGTCAGGTTTCCGTGTTGTCCCTCAACATGGGGGTTCCAATGATGGGCCTTTCCCCTTTGCCCAGGTCCCTTCAAAGGGAAGCAGCAGGCTTGCCAGGACAGCGCCCCCCCCCCCCCCAGCAGCACATCCTCAAGGCCCCATTGCTCAAGGAAGGGATCCTTCTTTGTGACTCTTGGTGGCCAGTCCAGAGCGCCTGAGCAATGCAGGGGGAAGAAAACCTCCCTCTGGCCACAGAAACCCCCATCAGTTTGGGAGAACGGTGGCCGGCACCTTCTTCCTTCCAGGCATTTGATCTTCGTATGGGTATGTTGGAGGGGCAGTCCATCCCTGGACACCCCACCACAGCTCGGGAAATCTTCCGATGGGAAGCAGTTTGCCAGCAGAGCTGCAAAACTGCCCACTCTGCGATTAATCTGGAAGGGCAGGAAGTGGGGAGGAGGGTAAGCAGCAGACTGGACACTGACTGGACACTTGGGGCAAGAGCATCTTCTTAGTCTGCTCATGGGAGGCTTGGCTGATCTTGCTGCCAAGTGGGCAGGCACCGGATTCTTTGGCTGCCTGGCCATCAGTCGCCCCGGCAGGAGGGCGTGTTTTAACAGCCAACGTGTGTTTTGCTCTAGACAGCAGCCCGTTCCTCGGCCATCAGCCTCTGGCACCAGCAGGGCACCTGGCTAGGAAGGAGAGCAGGCTCCTGGGAGGCTCTCTGCCCAGCCCCGCAGATCCCCTGGGCTCGGAGCTCCTCAGTTTTTGCTACCTGCACCTGCGGGAGCGCAAGAAGGAGCCCAAGAGCAGGACTGACGTCAATGAAAACCTGATCCTCTCTGAGGAGTCCCGGCCCCGGACCAAATCGGATCCCACCTCCGAGAGCTCCGGGCAAGACTGCCATGGGGCCGCCCAGGACTGTGAGCCCCACGGCCCAGAGCAGCAGTGCTGGGCCAACAGAGCCAGGGCGTTCACCCTGGACAGCCAGCAGGGCAGCCAGCCCCAGCACCTGTACTGTGACTCCTGCAAGGCCCAAGTCAAGCGCCTGCAGCCGGCCCCTCACCGAGGCGGCCATCGTGGCCCCACACAGGACAACATGGTGGACCTGACCTCCCTCCCCCCTCCAGGGAGCGATGAAGAGGAGGATGAAACCACCTCCCTTCTCCCCATTGCTGCACCACCTCCCGGCTTCCAAGACAACAGCTCTGACGAGGACGACTCTAAACGCCGGGTGTCAGCAGCCGCCGCCGCCATGGCAAAAGGGCAGGAGCCAGGACGCCAGCTCTGCAGCCTCCTGTATGAGGAGATTCCTGTGACGCTCATAGATAGCATGCCAATGCGGACAGTCCGAGATCACGCCCAGGACCTGGACGATGCTCTGGTCTCCACGCTGCAGGCCCTGGAAGCTCTGGCGGCCTCAGAAGATGGTGCGGCCCCTCAGCCGCAGCAGACGGCAGGTACCCCCCCCTCTTTTTAAGGTGGTTCCCATCAGATTACACCCAGCAAAACAGCAGCACCTCCCAAAACCTGCAAGCTTAGACCAAAGGGAGGGGCACTGGCATAGCTGCCTATGGAAAAGGGGAGGTGGGGTGTCGGAAGGACCCTCATTCCCAGGGCGGAGGTAGCAACGGCTGCGCATTGAAAAGACTGGACTGACTGAATGCCTCTCCAGCATATTTTAGAGAGGGGCTGCAGCAGTCCGTCCTCAGGGAAGAGGCCAGAATGTGGCACAGAAAAGGGCTCTTAAAGCGACATTAAGACCACCACCCCCCCCCCCCCCCGCCAGCTCAGGTTCATCATCCGGGGAAGCTGGGCTGGCTGCCCAGATAACCCTGCAAAGTTCCTCCTGAGCCCATGCCAGAACTTGGGCCTCCAAAAGGACGAGAGGTCCAGCAACAGCCAGCATACGTGCCCCCCCTCCCCCCCGGGCACCGGGGCAGCTTTGCCTTTGAAGCAGTGACACACAGATACAGACGCACACAGTGGCATATATTCCTTTTATTTAAATTAGCAGCATTCTCCCCTTCCTTTCCCTCTCCCTGGTTGGCTAGGGCAAGCAGCCAAATTCATCCAGTGGCTGAGGGTGGGCTTGAGCTTCCTTAGGAGGAGGAGGGCTTTCCCCACCGGACTAAAGAGCATGCCTTCTCCTCCTCCAGGCCTCATCGTTCTGGCTGCCATCACCCCAGAGTCATCAATGGACTCCGGCCACGAAACCAACTCGTCTGAGATCCCCGCCGTCCCTGAGATTCTCGCCGCTGTGCAGCAACGCCAGAACGCTGCCTTCTTCCTGACTCAGCAGCTTAGCAAGGAAGGCCTCCTGGCCCGGAAGGACCTTCCTTTCCGCATCCAGGCTGGTTGTGCCCACGGGCCGCCTTGGCATCGAGAGCCAGACCCAACCTCAAATGCCACCTGCACTACAATCAAGCGAGAAATGGAGAAAGGCTGTGCCCAGCCCTCACAGCAGACTGAGCTGCCCAAAGCCAAAGGCTCCTTCCCCTGTGGAGCAGCTGCAGCCCCACAAGCCGTCCCTGCCCTAGGAAACAGCCACCCGGAGAGTGGGCAGAGAGCAGCTCCTGTCCTGATTGCACCAAGTCTGCAGTCAGTTGGCCACAAAGCCTCCCTTTCAGCCGCCGCCGCCGCCTTGCCCACTGAAGGCAGCACTGCCCCCTGGGGTCCCCAGGCCTGCTCTGCGGGCCGGCTGCCTCCCAGCCTTCCCTGCTCTCAGAAGCAGCCAAGCAGTGAGGCCTGCCAGTGGAACCCGGGACCCCCAGGCAGTCCCGGAAAAGTGGTTCCTCCTCCCCTGCCAGCAGCAGAAGAGGAGAAGCAGGCACCCCAGAGCTGCCAGCCAAAGGGAAGGCCAGAGTGGGCAGGGCAGCTGGGGGCAGAGGAACTCCTGGGCCAGGGAGAGGGTGCCAAGCCACCTGGCCAGAGAGAGACGCTCGTCAGCCAGGAGGAAACGGGACAGCACGAAACTGGTGCCAACAGCCGCAGCACCCTGAGGCCCCCATCCTGCAAGAGTCCACAGGCTGTCAGCAGTCCCAGCGGGGAGACTCTGAAGGGGAAAGTCCCCCCAGGAGGTGCTCAGACCGGAAGCCTGCCCTCCGCTTCCATGCTTTCAAAAAGGCCCGAAAAGGCGCTGGCCATTACAGCACCAGACTCGGATCTCCCGGCTAAGCCTAAAGTGCCCAAAGCATCTTTCCACTTCAAGAGCCTCATTTCTGCCACCTTCCCAACCCGACTCAGGAGAGAGACCGATGAGCGGCAGGCTCAGCTGCAGAAAGTGAGGCAGTACGAGCTTGAATTCCTGGAAGAGCTGCTTAAGCCAAAGGCCAGGAGAGACCCTGTGTCTCCGGATCATCTGGACCCCTCGGCCACGGGCCGCTGCACCTGCCAGGTCCGGACCAGCCCTGTGCAGACTGTGCCAGGGATCTCCAGGGAACAGAGGCGGAGTTGTGACTGCAAGCGGCTCAGCCGAGGCACCAGGCCCCTGCCCGGCCAGCCAACGGCACCAGGCCCAGAGAGGCAGAGCAGGAGCAGAGAGCCGCCGCAGGCAGAAGGGCCAAGAAAGGCTGCCGCCGGAGCCCCTGCCAAGGGCAGCCGTATCAGATCCACCAGCCTGGAACTGAGAGGTTGCCGGCCTGGCCCTGAACACAGCCTGTCGTGCCTGACCACATGTGCCTCTCCTGGGGAGTGCGTAGGAGCTCCGCACTACAAGAAGTTGATGCGGCGTTACAGCGTCAGCGAAGTTGAAAAGACGGAGCAACCCTGCCCAAGTTCTCCAGGCTACCCAAGCCATTACCTGCACAAGCTGAGGGAGACCCCTGCCCAAGCCCCTGCCTCCAAAGGTGAAATGCAGGACCCCCACCCCACAGCAGCAGACCCCTCTTATGTCGAAGTGACTGAGAAGAGCCAGAAAGGCGGTGCTGGGCTTCCTTTTCAGGAGGACATCTATCCGAGCCCTCCCAGACTGCCAGAGGAGGATGGAGACAGGCAGAGGTGCTGCTCCTTTTGGTACTGCTTCTACTACAGGAAGTGCGACATGGCTGATGATGATGGGAGTGAAAAGGATGAGCTTTCTTATGCCATTCCCATGCAGATCGTCCCAGAAGGGAAGGTCGGCCACCAGGCAATCCCAGTGGTGAGCAGAACCCTCCAAGTCCTGGATGCCAGTGTCTGCAGCTCTCCAGACAACCAGACCCAGGAGATAGACCTGCGGAGCTCTTCCTTTGAGGGCAGCCTGGCCAAGATCCACGCCCTGAAGGGCCGCACCTACACCTGGCCCAACGGGTTCCTGGCTGTGCAGCTGGACACCAGTGAACTCTTGACCATCCTCCGGCAGTGCATCGTGAGCCCCGAGGCCCAGGAAGGCAAAGCGGATCTCCCTCAGTTGACTGGGTACAAGCAAGAGTTGGCCCTGAAGTTCAAGGACTTCCGGGCCTCCTGTCGCCGAGTGGCCGCGGTCAACAAGAGCCCAACCCACATGCTGTCGGCCGTGAGCAGCAGCTTCCAAGTGCTGGGAGGCTTGATCGAGACCTTCGTGCGGCTGGTGAACGTGCTGCGCTCGGGCTCGCAGCGCCGGGCACTCTTGGCCAAAGTGGAAGAGATCGTGAGGAACTACACGTTCCTGTTGAGAGCTGCCGAGGAGTCCACCGCCCGAACCGCCCACCGAGGGGACCAGGAAGCCGAGCAGCTGAGCTCGGCGGCCTCCGTGGTGAACACGCTCACGCGCTCCCTGAAGACACTGATGAGCAAGTAGATCAGTGTCTGCGCCGGAGTCGGGCGCCTGCCCGGCCGACACCAAGCACCTGGGCGCCTGCGAGCCGCTGGGAGAGCGAGGAGGGCCGCCGCCGCCGCGGACCGAGAGGCGTCCCTTGCCCCGTGAGCCCCGGCTCGTCTCAAGGGCCGAAACCGCGAAAGGCTCCGGCTCCGGTCCAGGGAAGCCCAGCCTGGAGCTCCTGCTCGCCCCACCTCCCCAGAGAGGCCCCGGGGCTCGTCTCCGCTCCAGCCACCCGAAAGGAGCGGATTCGCCCGGCAGCCGCCTCGGCATTTGAGGCGGCTTCTCTCTCCGTCTGCCACGGCCAGGAACGGCCACGTCTTCGCGGCGGGAACTGCCGCGCGATGCCCGCGACCCCGGAAAGGACTCGGAGGCCCGGGAGCCTCTCCTCGGCGCTTGGCCGAGCGCGACCCGCCCCAAAGGTAGCCGAGCACAGCGCCTCGCGTGGACTCTGCTCCCCCGCGCGACCTCGCCGCCGCCGGGCCAAAGGGGCTCGTTGCGCCGGCCTCCCCCCCCCATCCGCCGCCGCCCGTGCACGGAACCCGCCGGTTTTCTTTCGCAAACCCGGAAGAGTAAATCGATTCCTTCCTCATCCGCCGCGTGGGAAATTTCCTTTCAGCAGCACCGCCCCGCCCCTCCCCGCGCGTGCGCGTTGCCAGGCGAGAAGCGGTGAGGTGACAAAGGGGGCGCGGCACCAAGATGGCGGGCTAGCGCGCGCGGCCCTTCCGTCGGCGCCTGCGCGTTCGAGGGCCGCCCGTGCGTCGCACCGTCCCTCTAAGCGGAGCCGGCGGCCGGAAGGCGGAGGCCGCGCGGCGCTGCTGCGGCTGCTGCTGGATCCCAAGAGCGGCGGGCGGGAGCGCCGCAGGGAGGCGGCGGAGCTGCTGCCGGTGCCGCAGGGAGGCGGCGGGCCCGCGGAGCGCGCCTCGTCCTCCGCCGCGTCGCGCTGCCTGCCGCCGCTACTGGCCAGGATGCCCAACATCAAGATCTTCAGCGGCAGCTCGCACCAGGACCTCTCGCAGAAGATCGCCGACCGGCTGGGCCTCGAGCTGGGCAAGGTCGTCACCAAGAAGTTCTCCAACCAGGAGACCTGGTGCGCGTGAGAAGCGGCGCATGCGCGGGGGCGAGCGGGCGGGAGGGCGGGGAGGGAGGGAGGGGAAAGGAGCGGAGCCTCACGCCCCGCCCTCACGCCCCGCCCCCGCAGCGTGGAGATCGGCGAGAGCGTCCGCGGCGAGGACGTCTACATCGTGCAGAGCGGCTGCGGGGAGATCAACGATAACCTGATGGAGCTGCTCATCATGATCAACGCCTGCAAGATCGCTTCGGCCAGCCGCGTCACGGCCGTCATCCCCTGCTTCCCCTACGCGCGCCAGGACAAGAAGGACAAGGTGCCCCGCGCCCGCCGCGCCCTCCTCCCGCCGGCCCGTGCCCGGCCCGCCCTGACCCGCCGCTGCCTCTCTTGCAGAGCCGGGCCCCCATCTCCGCCAAGCTGGTGGCCAACATGCTCTCCGTGGCCGGCGCGGACCACATCATCACCATGGACCTGCATGCCTCCCAGATCCAGGTTTGGGGGCGGGGCGGGGGCTGCTCTGGCGGGTTGGGGCTTCAAAGCCTCCCGCCGGGTGGGGAAGGAAGGGGGCGCCCTGCTCCGGAAATGGCCCAAGGCCCGACCGAAGGGGGGCTCGGAGCCTCTGGGCTGAGGAGCTGCTTCCTTTCCCCAAGGGCTTCTTCGACATCCCAGTGGACAACCTATACGCTGAGCCAGCTGTCCTGAAGTGGATCAGGGAGAACATTGTGGAGTGGAAGAACTGCACCATCGTCTCTCCGGATGCTGGGGGAGCCAAGAGGTGAGGCGCCCGGAGCAACCGGGGCGGAGGCCTGTTTTGCAGAACGGTTTCGGTCTCAAATTGTGGCTGTGGCGAGGTCTTGATTAGCAACTTCCTTGGGGAGAGAGCTTTTCCAAATTCAGAACCCCCCTGTATTGCTGTCGACTTCCAGAGTGATGTTTTACCCGGCTCTTGACTTTTTGTAGAGAACCTCAGTCAGAGGACGTCTATGTGTGACACCCAGGTCCCCACCTGACCATTGGCCTTTGAAAAGGCAGTTGCAAGAGGCTGCTTGCATTCCTAAAATGCTTTGACTGGGAAACCCTTTTGAGAAACGAATTTTCTTTTGGCCAGCTGTTGGCTCTGCTATTTCTTGGAACCTCGGCATTGGAGCAAGGGGCTCTTCTGATTGTGTAATGATGCGTCTGGTGGCACTGAAGAAAGCTCGTGTAGGCATTCCTAAATAGTGAAGGAGGGCTCTGTTGTGAGAATTGCAGGACAGCCATTATGTTGGTTACATGGGTATGTGCTGCTGGCAGAGTTCACAGCAGCCTTGCCCAGCCGGTGCTTTTGGATGGATGTGAGGTGGCAGTGCTGATAAGAATTCAGGGAGTGGGCATAAGAAGGGGCAGGATTACCACCCTTTCTGGAAATTGACAATATGGACCTATCTCTCCACAGAGTGACCTCCATTGCTGATCGGCTGAATGTGGACTTTGCCCTTATTCACAAAGAGAGGAAGAAGGCCAGTGAGGTAGACCGCATGGTGCTGGTGGGGGATGTGAAGGACCGGGTGGCCATCCTTGTGGATGACATGGCAGACACCTGTGGCACCATCTGCCATGCAGCAGACAAGTGAGTATCCTACCAGAGCGTAGGCAGCCATCTGGGGTCAACAGGGTGGGTGGCTGGTTCTGTCCTGGCTGATTCATTCTCCCTCTCGGCCTCATCCTGCTTCCTTGAATGCAGTTTTGTGTGCTGAAAGCAATAAGGTGCTTATGGATGGTAAGGCTGCAGCAAAGGCCCATTGTTTTACTAATGGCAGATTGGAATGTTTGATTTATTCAACAAGGAGCAGCCGGCTCACCCAGTAAATGCTGTTTTCTGTCTGACTTCCACATAGGCTGCTTTCAGCTGGGGCTACCAAAGTTTATGCCATCCTGACTCATGGGATCTTTTCTGGGCCAGCCATTTCCCGAATCAACCATGCCTGCTTTGAGGCAGTTGTAGTCACAAACACAATCCCCCAGGAGGACAAGATGAAACACTGCCCTAAAATCCAGGTGCGGCTACAGAAGAACAGGAGAGTCTGGGCAGCTTGCAGGCTCCAGATAACTTGACTTGTTGCTTCCTCTTCCTCTGCAGGTGATTGACATCTCCATGATCCTGGCTGAAGCCATCAGGCGGACTCACAATGGAGAATCGGTCTCTTACCTCTTCAGTCATGTCCCTTTATAACTGTAGATGCTGCTGCTTGGGTGGCTTTTTGAAAAACCAAAATTTGTTTTAAGTTCAGTAGATGTTGCTTGTTTGATTGCTTCCTTTCTACTTCTCAGAGTTTGGCGGAGGGGTGAGGAGATCTTGATTCACATTCTCAGCCTCTCCATTGACTGGGAGCTTTTATGCAAGTTAGGCTTCTTGTGAAGCTATTGGCCTCTTTTAACTTGGAGGAGAAGAGAACCACTGTTTCCAGTCATCCACCCTGTGTCCTTGGGAGGGTGTAGTGGCTAGTTGTGCAGAAGGTCAGAATTACATTTTGGTTAGACCTAGAGTGGTCGCTGGGTGCAAGAGTATGCAGAGAAAGGCCTTTCTGTGCCAAAAAAAATGCCCGTGTTTGGGGTTTGCCTTGACTGGAACTTGCCTGCCTATCCTCCCCACCCCTTTTATGTCCAGTTCATTTCCAGAAGAGCGGGTTGGAGTGCCCCTCCTCCTTTTAAAGTCTACCCAGGCAAGCTTGTGATCCTGGGGCATTCTGTGCCCCGTTGCTTTCAGGTGTGTCTCTTGGCACCTACGCGGTTCCACGGGGCGGCAGCAGCAGAGATCATTTCATAGCAATGGGGCCTGCCTCCCTTTGAGAGGCAAAAGCAGCAGACCATTATCCCCGCCCCAAAGGTTTTCAGAGCGTTTGAGGAGAGGAGAAACGCAGCTCCCAGAAAAGCAGGGGTCTTTACAGCCTGGGCATGCTGCCTCTGCTGCCACAGCACTTCAGCTGGGTTCTGAGCAGCAGCTCTCTCGATTGTATGCCCGTTGCTGTGGCGTGTGTGCATGTATCTACCTACATATATATACCTTTATTTTGCTGCTTCTTTGGGCCCTTCCTGCTGCCTCTGCTTCGCTTCGGCTGAATCCCTAGGATGCCACTGTGATGTTTGTGTTACTCAGAACTTCAGAGCAGGAGGAATTAAACTCTTCCTTAAAAATCAAGAGCTTTCTGGATGCTGTTCCCACACGCACCATATTCTGGCAAGATTCTTTGGGGTGCAGCACTTTCTCCCAGCGAAAACAATAAAGGACAGTGGGGAGGAATAGGTCTCCATATGGCTGAGCGTACTCGTAGGTCAGCCTTGGGACTATATGGGTATCTGTGACTGTGGGAGCCAAACCTGCTGCACTGCCTCCTTTGATGCAATGCAAGCTGTTTTTCAAATTAGCAGCCATTATTAACTGAAAACCTCCTCCCAATTCAATCCATGGCAATATCTTTTCAGGGGGCTGGCAACTCGTACCCTTTTGGTGAGGCACCTCTGAAGCAATTAGCATGTGTGCCTTCAAGTCAGCAGCTGTGCCACACCAAGTACCTATGTACAGTATATAGGACCTACTGCTTGAGCCAGGGGGTTTGGACTAGAAGGCTGCTTGTGGAAGGGCATCTCTCCTGGGGGGAAAGGACCAGGCTGTTCCTCTCTTGTCCCAGGAGGTGCAAGTAGCCATGGGGACAATGGCTAACACGGCTGGAGAAGCGTGCTATACAAAGGACAGTGCTGGGCGCAGGTCTCTTGTATGTGCAGAGTTGGGGGTGGATGGGTGTCCCCATTCTTCACACACCCTGGAAAGCACATAAGCCAGGAAGCCAAACTAACATCCCGTGGATGTACTCTGCTCCCCTGTGGCAGTTAAGACGGGTGTTCCTTTAGGAGGTTAGCATCCTACTATTTAGGGTGCCGATTTTGCCAGGCTGAGGGGTGGGGCACTTGGTTGGGGGGGTGCTCTACAATTTGATGCCTGTCTTCGCCCCAAGGCAGTTCAGCCCTTGTGCTGGAGAGAAAGAATTTGGGCCCACCTACAGTTAGGGGCCTTGCTGCCTTGCAGTATCCTGAAAAAAGGTTCTCTGGGTGTGATCAGGGTCCCCAAACGGATTGCAGAGCATATCTGGCAGAAATGGGGGAGCTGTTGCTGCATCAGGCCCAATTTTATTAGCAAGGGATGAACCAGCTCTTTGAACAGTAGGTGCCTCTCGCTGCTCCACCGGCAGCCTCCTTTGCTGCAGGGGTTTGGCCAAAAGAGTTTATTTCAAGCTTGCAAATAGGACCCCGAGCTTGCAAATAGGACCGGAACTAAGTTCAGTTGTCAGTCGCAGTCAGTTGCAAAGGAACTATTCTTTCTCCTTCCTCTGGCTGAGAAGGAAGCGTTGCTGTCAAGGCAGAACACAGCGGCCAGAGTTGTGGAGAACAGTTGTACAATTGACCAAGGCAGAACTGTGAGGAAATGGCAACATGGTAACTGCTACCGCCTCTAAAAAATCCAGTTACCCCCCTACGGTTCTGGTAGCCCTCCAGGCCCAGGAGTTTCCCCTTTGGCAGTTCAGAGTACTGACTTTCCCACTGTTCTCTGGCATCCCCTTGGGAAGCCAGAGATGCTCCTTTCCTCTCTTGGCTTCTGCGTTCACTACTGAGTCTTGTGCCTGTCAAGGTTCTAACAAGAGCCCAAGCAAGCAAGCAAGCACTGTTGAGACGATCCAATCTCTTTATGCAATCATTTCGGCACAGAATGAATGCAAAAGCAGCTCTGGGTAATTCCCAGGCAACATAGTATAATTAAAATATAGAATCTTCCCTCCCCCCATTAGTGCAGATCACGTTGCCCAATTAGATGTCCAGGTATCCCAATCTCTCCCTCCTCCCCTCTACCAACCTTGGCAAGCTGAAGCCAAAGGAAAGAAGTCTGAATTGAAGCGAGTGGGAAGCAGCTGCGGAAGCCCCACCGGAAGCCCTGGGGGTGGAGCTCTCGGCAGAGGGAGGAAGATGCTGTACTTTGCATCTCTGTGCAAAGGAGCAGAGGCATGTGCAGAAGAAGGTAAGGTGCCATGGGCTGCTGCGGTGGGGGGGGGGGGGCAGCACCCCCTGAGGCATTTCAAGTTCAGAAGGAAGGGGGCCGCAATTTGCCTGGGTCTGGAGGAGCGGTTCAGGCACTCTCAAGGCTAAGGAGCTGTGGGGACCATGGGACTGGCGGTGTGGGAGCCCTGGGCCAGGGTTGCGGGAGAAGCCGTTCAAGGAAGGGGGGCGTTGAGAAATGGGCCAGATCAGATGGAACTGCAGAGGGTCTCTCTCTCCCCTCCCCACCGCATCTCAATGGAGGGCGTAGAGGCCGTTGGGCATTAACTCCGCTTCAGCCCTCCTCCTGCCTGAGTGACCGGGAGTGACTGCTGGGAAGAGTTTGGAAAGCAGCCCAATTTGAATAATTTATTACAGCAACAAAGATGTAGTTAATCTTAGGGTTTCCCTGTGCTCCAGGCTCTGGAATTGCAGTACGGTGACTGATGATGGAGGGGAGTCTGGTGCCAATCCTTTTGAAGACTCCCTCAAAGGATAGGACAAGAGGCTGGGCTTACGTTGACTTCCATCTGCTGCCTGAGAGCCCTTCTGGGGAGCAGCAGTTCTCCAAGGAGTTGATTTCCTCCATTGCTTTATTAAGCCTTGGTGATTTGAAGTGGTGCCTAAGGAACAGAGGCCAAACCTATGGAGAAAAAAACTAAATTTTAGCCAAAAATGGATGAGAAGGGACCAAGTTCTAGCATCTACAAAATCCAAACCCATCTCCAAATGTAATGGAACGTTCTTAATATATTTTGGGACTGCAAGAACTGCTCTAATACTTAACTGGAGGAATTTCAAAAACAGGGTTAGTAAGAGTAGATTTGAGTATCGTGGTTAAGAAAACTCCACAGGATGCAGGAACAGAATCAGCAACCTTTAATGAAAAATATCTCATGCTGGGCAACGCTAGCCTGGCAGCCAAGTTCAGGAACTTTGGAACGGTGCCCCAAGGTCTGAGCATGCACCTGCACCCTTGGAGTCCTGTTAATTTGACATTTTTATGACAGCGTTGAGCCAATACGAAAACTTTGGTTTGCTGATTATCTTTTGAACCAAAAAGGCCCGCCTGCTTCTCATTCCTGCTTCTGAAATGGACATAACTATGTATTTTTTGCTTAACAAAGGGTCAAAACCACTCCTGCTCGAACAGGAAGTTGGTGAGCAGGGATGTAAAACCAATTGGATTTATATTGTAAAGCAGGGGTTCCCAACCTGAGGTGATCGCACCCCCTGGGGGTGCGAGACGATATTCCAGGGGGTGCGAGAAAAGTCCAGGTAAATAATAGGATATTGGCTATATGTTGGCATTTTTATTTATTATGCAATGGATTGACTTTGTTTTCATTTTAGAGTTAAGTATCGTTATTTAGTGGCCGTCTCATATATAGCTGAAAAGATTCAATCCTACCATATATTTAACGCGTTCAGTAGTTCCTAAAGTCTAAATTTCAGGGGGTGCGAGGTTCGAGTGAAATTTCTTTAGGGGTGCGGGGCGAAAAAAAGGTTGGGAACCACTGTTGTAAAGGGTCTAGTAGACAATTCTGAAACAGCTTCAGAAATACAGCTCCAAGAGGAACATCTAATTATCGGAGCATAAAGAGACTTATGTAGAAGCAGCCTTTTGTGAACAGTAGGTTGCCTCAGCGAAGGTTGCAAAAAGTGTGTGTGTGTGTGTGTGTAGAGAACATCTCAGAAGTCAAGCTTCCCTGGCAAAACCTGTGTCCCCAACTTCAGGCCTACAGGCACAGATTCCTTTTTATTTAAAGGTTAAATTTTAATTAAAATTGGGAGGGGCTGAAATCTTTCCCCCACTTGCCCTTTGAACTTGCCCCCACTCACCCCTTCAGACCCAGGGCTCTGACCCCTGCACTGCCTCTGTTCCCACAGAGAAGTCGGGTGCTCTGCATCGATGGAAGAGAAGGAGACCAAGAGGGGGCAAAGGCAAAGGGCTTGCAGCAGTTACTTTGTGGGCGCTGCCTCCGGCAGTCTCTCCACCCTGGCAACCTTCCCCATTTACAAGACCATCTTCCGCCAGCAATTGCACGCCTTCTCCATCACTGAAGCAGTGTGCCAGCTGTACCACGAGGGCTTCTACCGAATCTATCGTGGCGTCTTTCCACCCCTCGTGGTCAAGACGCTGCAAGGAACGTTGATGTTTGGCACCTACCACAGCTTCTACGGCTTCCTCTCGACTCAGCCATTGGGGTCCGGCTCCCGGAGAGCCATAGCTGGGCTGTTTTCTGGCTTCTTAGAAGGCTTGGTTTTCTGTCCCTTCGAGAGGGTGCAGAATGTGCTCCAGGATGGGAGGAAGGTCCAGATGTTCCCCACCACACGTCACATCCTGACCACCTTCCATTCCTACCCTCTCGGGGAGAGCTTCAGCGTGGGCTTCTACCGAGGCCTCGGGCTGATCCTGATCCGCAACGGCCTGGGGACCTCCCTCTATTTTGCCTTGGAGGAGCCCCTCCGGAGCAGCTTCTCCACACAGAGCTTGCCTGTTGGAATCCCAGCCTTTCTATCAGGTAGCATTAGTGGCACGTTGGTGTCCCTGCTGCTCTACCCTCTTGGCATCCTCATTGCCAATGTGCAGTCCCAAGTGGGAAAGCAGGAAACCCTCGGCCTCTTGGCCACCATGACTCAGGTCTGGCAGGCCCGGGGAAGGAAAGCCCGGCTGCTGTACAGGGGCGGATCTCTCCTCATTCTCCGTTCAAGCCTCACCTGGGGACTCACAACTGCCATCTACCAGTTCCTGTCCAAGGTTACAAGCTAAGGACTGGTTGTGAAGGGCGGGCAGGAGGGAGCAACTGACAAACATGGTATAAGTGGAGAAAGTGACAACCAGAAGGAAAGGAGAATTGCCCCACACGCAGGCATGGGAACTGAATGGTATTGAAGCACAGAGCAAATTCAGACTTGGGGGATTTGGTTCAGTTGGAAACATTGTAGAAATCTGAAGGTTGCAAGCACATCTGGACCAAGTTGACTTCACTGGAGCTCCAGAAAACTGCTGGATCTCAATGGGCCCGCAGAAAACATCTTTTACTTTCCTGCAGGGCCTGGGGGCGGAGGGGGAGAAATCATGATTTCTGCTCTTACATGCATGTTGCAAGCCAGACATCACTGCAGAATTAAACCCCAATAAATATACTGGGGTGCATTATTTGTAACCCTAATGTCAATTTGTGAATGAATCTCAGGCTTAATTATTGGAACCATGTAATCAATTATATCAGCCAACTTTGTCTGGGAGCCTTTGGAGAAAGAGCATGTTTTGTTTTTAGTGAATAGTTAACATTTTTATAAACTCTTCAGCTGAGCTGAATTTTAGTGGCTTACATTAATTTGGATACTTTCATAAGTGTAGCTGTTAATAAGCTGGCCTATTTGTTACACCCACATATTCCAGTAACCACCGTCTCGATTGGAAGCCCACATACACACACCTTAACTTTTATTGGCATAGAAAACGAGCACAACTACCCGCCTTCCCACAATGCACTAGGAAATCGTCTGCAACCTGCGAGGAAGAATATAGAATAGACGTGCGCTGTCTTACCGCAACACCTTATTACTTTATTTAGTTTTAAATATGTAAATGTAAGTTCACATACCCATCACGAACGCGCTCCTCTTTTCAACCCAAAAAAGGCAGCCGACCGCCTGCCAAACCCGCAAGCTCGGTTCCGCCGCTGGGCGGTGCGCAAACCCGCATCTCCGGCCCGGGAAACGGACCTCGCCGGCCCGCCCACCTGCGAGGGGGCGGCGGCGCTTAGCAGGGCGGCGGTATGAAGGTGGCTGCTGCCCCTTCCCGTTTCTGGCGGGCCGAGGGCGCCTCTGAGCCCATGTGGAGGAGGAGGAGGAGGGGGAATCGGGCACCCTTAGAAGCCCAACGCAGGGCTCCGCCAACGCAGGGCCCTGGCTCGGCCGAAGGGAGGAAGGCCCGTTACTGAGAAGCTCATCCCAACAGCAGCGTTCTCACAGGAACGCAACGTTGCTTGCAACCTTCCGCAATCGTCCCTTCTTCCTACAGCTTCAGGGAAGCCGGCCTCGCGCTCCGCCATACGCTCAGATCTGCGCAGTCAGCCGGTCTCCCGCCGAGGCCCCGGGGAGACTCCCCGCCCCCCATCCCGTGCTCGCTCGGAGTCGGCGGCCGCGAATGGCCCCTGAATTACAGCTCCCATCATCCGCAGCGAGCCCCCTGCGAGAACGGAGACCGATGGGTTCTGGCGAGGGCGACGCCCTGGGCAGCCGTGGGGCTCGGGGGCAGCGGCGCGGTAGCCTCCCGCCGCGCCCTGCTGGTAACCCGGGGAGGCCTGGAGAAAAGGCGGGGCGGGGCGCGCACCCCGGGGGCAACGCAGGGTGCCACTGACCCTCAGGCGAAGGAAGCGGCAAGGCCGGCCGGGCATCGCTCAACGCTGGCCGGGGGCGAGTCGGCTGCCACGCCGCGGCGCCCTCCCCGCTCAGGAGGAAGAAACTACACTTCCCGAGATACCCCGCGGTCCGGCCCCCAGATATAAAGGGACGCCCCGACACGCTGGCTCAGAGAGCGCGGAAGTCGGAGACGTCTTTGCAGGTGACTGGTGGGGCGGGCGGGCTCCCTTCCCTCCCTGGCCCCGCGGAGGGGCACTTTCTCCCGTGCCCTCGCTGGGCTTGGCGGGCTCTGAGGGGCGATCGGGTGGGCTACGTTAAACCGAGCGGCGCTTCCCGGACGAGCGTGGCTCGGCAGCGGGGCGTGTCGGAGCCTGGCTTGGGGCGAACGGGGCAGCGGCGCACCCCGGGCTTGCTCCCCCCCCCCCGGGGCCCTGGCTCTGCCACTCCGCCCTGCCTGCCGGTCTCCCCGGCCTGTCCTGCGGCTGCGGCCCCCTTGTTCCAGGAAGTCCCGCGAGGCACCCTGTGGCTTTTTGCAGTTCTGAAAGTATCGACTTCGCTTCCTGCCTGGCCAAGATGTGCGACAAACCGGATCTTTCCGAGGTCGAGAAGTTCGATAAGAAGAAGCTGAAGAAAACGAATACGGAGGAGAAGAACACGCTGCCTTCCAAGGAGAGTACGTGCTTGGGGAGGGGCCTCCAGCCGCTGCAACCTGCGCCCAAACTCCGAGGGGGGGGGGAAGAGCCAGGCTTGGGGAGGCCAACTTTTGGGGACCCGCAACTTCCAAATCTTCAGGCAGTGCTTCCTCCTCAGCCTAGTTGAGCCCTGCCCAACCCTGCTACGTGGGAGTTGGGCAGCCCGTCTCGGAGGTCCAGGGCCTCGGGAGGCCTCTGCCCTTGCAGGCAGGGCCTGTCCTGCTGAGATGGGACCCTTTACCTGGAGTGGCTGAGGTGCTTCCTGTGGGGAAAAGGCCTTTTACAGAGTTTGTAATCTTGGGAGGGTGAGCTGCCTCCCAAGCAAGGATGGGTTCCTTCCTTGAGCAGCAACATCATTCGGGCTGGAGGACCAGAGCTTGAGGGCCCCACTACCAGAACCTGGGCCAGTGTGGGGGTCCTGTTGGGAGGCAGCAGAACCAAAGTGCAGTTGGTTGCCCAGCAGACCTTGCCGATAGGTTTAGGGTCTCCAGAAAATGCCTTCTCTTTCCCCCTCGACCCCGGCTAGAGACTAAGGGTGGGGGTCTGGAAGGCAGGCTCAGTGACTGAATGCTCAAGGTGCCTTTTCTCTCCTCAGCCATTGAACAAGAAAAAGAGGGTGCCAAGTCATCATAGACCAGCGGCATGAAGCTCTGATGTTTTTTGGGTTGTTTCTCTAAAACAACTTATGTATAAACTTGCATCTCACGAAATGCTGCAGCAACCCATTTGTGGCTGCTGCCTCTTTGAGCCTCCCCGCCCTCCCCTTTTCTGGGCTTGGCCATGCCTTCTTCCATCACAGAAGAAAAAATGATTCACGGGAAATTTCTGGGACTTACCCAGTGTGATTCTCAGAGTTTGCCTTTCTTGTCAGATGGAGCAATTTCATCAGTTAAATCCTAATTAGTAAAATTGTTTGCAATTGTTTTTGCAGCTTTACTTTGATTTCTGAAAAATGGAAAGAAAAATCTATTAAATTTTTTTAAAATGAGTTACCTCATGACCGTCTCTTGTGATTCCTCCCCAGAGCCCCCAAGTTTTGAAGGTATCTTGCTGAGGGTTTTTTTATATATCAGTTTGGCCCAGGCCTGTGCTGTGAGTTGAGAAAGAATGGCGCTTTTGAAGGGGGGGATGTTCTGTTTGCCGTGGGTGGGGCAGAAGGGTGGAAGAGTCTGGGACTCTTCCTGGCAGAGGCATCGTCTTTGAGGAAGTCAAAGGTCCACCTGAGGTATCAGGCCGAGACAAGTAGCCACTGGTCCAGGCTCAGGGCTTTGAGAAGGTAAAACTAAGTCTAAGCCAATCCTGACTAGAGAATGTAAGGTTAAAGAGACAGCCGGAGACCAGAGAGAAGTTTTAGAAACAGAGCTACTAGCCTGCAGCCTGACATGTGGGCCTCCAGAGGTGGCCTTTCATGTTGTGGCTGGCAGAAGATGTGCCTAGACTAGAGCAGGGGTCCTGGTATGTTGCAGAGCAGTGCAAGAAGGGCATCTTTGTAGCCAGGAGAAGATGATCAAGAAACGCTCGACGTAAGAGAGCTGTGGTCTTCGAAAGAGGCCTTGATTCTTAGGTATTCAGGTGGCAATTTACAGTGATGAAAGAAAAGTAGCAACCAGAAGGGAACAGTAATGATTGAGTGCCAACACAGCAGTGAAGTTTGGAGGCACCACTTCTGAGCTAACCACCCGTTTCTGGGCAGACACACTTGCTAATAGTGGAAGGATTTGCAGAGACGCCAAAAGCCTGAAGAAAGAGGAAGGGAGCAAAACCTGCAACTTCCCCTCTGCACTTTAGGCAAGAATGTTTTGGGTGTGCCTTCCTGGGGGGAGGGGGGGCAGCTTGAGGAAAGGCTACATGCACTGAAAGCTTCACCCAAGACAAGAGCACCTGCTGGAAAGCCCTGCAGCCTCTCAAGAAGGGGGCCCAGCTTGAGATAAGCAAAGCATCCAGCCATTTTCCTAAACTATGGTCACCCTGCAGATGGGTCAGAAGTCCTGGGGCGGAAGAATGTCTCTGGTCAGGCCTATTGTGTGTTGGTGCTCGTTCGTTCAAGGAGGAGGCAGGCATTAGCCAGCACTCGGCACAGCAGCTGGACGGCTGCCTGGGACACAGACGGGCATGCCTAAACCAAGATCCATGTTCTGACCAGACGTGTGTCCTGATTCAGTGTACAGGAAAAAGGGGATGGCAGTTCTCGGGAAGAGGCAAACTTGCCTGCTAGACTCCTCCATGGCCCCCTCCCAGCCTGGAACAGGCAATGGGGAAAATGAAGCCGCTCCCCTCCTTCCCTTCTTGAAGAGGGCAGAGCTGGCCCCCAGCTCCATTCTTCCAGCAGCCTTCAACCTGACCCGCCACAGAGGATCCTCAACCTCCACCTAAACAATCTTGTAACTGCTGAGGCCAGAGTGGTGGTAGAACCTTAGGGAGAAAAGCTACTGGATTTTCTGGTCTTTAATAATGCATTGGTTCATCCCAGGAACTCCAGACACTTTGGCGACCTCTTCAGCAGGAAGCCCCACTTCCACATCCTGGGTACAAACCGCCCATTTCCTCCTGCACCACTGCACCGATTCACTTATGCTGGGAGATCAGAATGATTCTCAGCAGGATCCGTTTCCTAGGAAAGACCACACTGCAGTTCAGTCTTGGAAGCTCAGCCAGCTGAAAGGGGTTTGAGATCAGCTGTTTCCACACAGCATGGAGCAGCATGGTCTGCATTGACTCCAGCTTGACCAGCACTTACTTTAAGGATGGACTGGGATACCTGGGAGGAACCCAGCCCATCTAATTAATTTAGGTCCATGGATTCAAAAAGCATGTGCCTTCAGGAACCATGCTGAACTGCTCCACAAGGCCCTCAGGTTTTGTTTGCTGTGGCCATTTGTGAAATGCAGGTGTGTGGAAGCCTTGGAACCCCCTGGCTGCAGCAGCCTGCTGACCCCATCCATCAGGATTCACCACTGGAATGCTCCAAAGTGCCCCTCTGCACGACAGGCCCAGCCCTGCCAGTAGCTGTTTGCTTTCCAGGTGTGTGCTTCAGCTAACAAAATGTGCGCCAGACTTGGGCAAGGCCTGCCTCCTTCCTGCTCGGCTCCCCAGTGGAAGGTCAGGAGTGGGAGGCAGGCCGCTCCCTGAATGCAGAACAAACCGATCCGACAGGTCCGGGCTAGCTCGATAAGCGGAGACGTCACCAGCTGGGACACACTGCCTTTTCCTGTGGTGCCAGCCAAGTGTTATGCTGAACGGCACGGGAGGCGGCCCCAGAGCAGAGCCAGCCTCGCTGCCCCTCTCTAGGCCGAATCCCGCCTCTTCCCCCTCGCAGACCGACTGGGAGGGAATTATCCGGCAGCCTCAGGCTTCGTTGTGTGCTCTGAACCGCCATTGTGAGGTGGAAAGCTGCAGACCCCCATTGCACTCATGTGCCGGGTCCCTCGCAGCCGCCGGCCTGAATTTCCTTCCGGGCAGAGCTGAGCCCGGCTGGAAGCCGCGGGGCTGCAGGGGAAGAAAGCCGCTGCCTCGGCTCAGTCTTCGCGCAACACGTTGCTCCGGGCCCCGCTCAAGGCAGGGGGGAGCCGCTTGAAGGGAGGTGCATGGCACGTGCTTCTTTCACACCTGCCCTCGCGCCGCCGCCGCACCCCCCCCCCATTCCGCCGGCCGGGCAAAGTCGTGGCCGGCCCTTCCGGAAGCGGGTCGGAGCGTCCTATCGTTGCCTGGATCCCTTCGCGCCAAGCAGAGAGGGCGCGACCGAGGGGCCGCCCTTTCACTGGAGCTGAAGCCGCCGGCGAAAGCTGCCGCGAGCGCATGCGCCCGGGAGATGCCAGGCTCCGGAGTCTGCCGCGGAGTTGCGGGCCGGAGCCCAAGCCGGCTGCGGGGCAAGTGCTCCGGGACGAGCCACAGCCTACGGGTGAGGAAGACGTCGGGTGGGGGCGGAGAAGCGCCTGCCGGACGGGAAGCGTCTTGAAGCCCCGCAGCTCCCGGCAGCTTTCTGCCGGTGGCTTAGGCTTCGTTGCCTACCCGCGGCTGCCGGGCAGAGATGCCCGGGGGAGAGCAGAGGGTGCCAAGGCACGGCGGCTGGGATTGGGCATCCCCCGCCCGGGCTCTCTTCCCCTGCGCTGCTCCCCCTCCCCCAGGCCCGGACACCACCCGGCCCGCGGCAGCAACTTAGCGGGGGGCGGGGGGAGTCGAGGAGGTTGGGCCCCGCAGGATTTGCGGGCAAGACGGAAAGGGCAGGGCGAAGCGGCCCCCGGCTTGGAGCTGCCATCGGCTCCTCAGCGACTGGCCTCCCGCGTGCGGCGCTGCCGGGCTTCCAGATCAAATCCCGAGACCTGGCGGGAGCCCTTCCGCAGCCAGCCAGGTGGTTGGTGCCGGGCAGAGCTGCCGCCACCAGGCCAAGGCGCCTCTGACCTGCCGCCACCAGGCCAAGGCGCCTCTGACCTGCCAACCCACCCGCTGCGCCCGGGAAGGACTAACGCCAGCTGTGGGTTTGGCTCCTGGGAGTTGCCCCTGCGCCCCACCCCCCATGCCAGCCAGAAGCATTGGCTCCTCTTCTTCCACCCAGCCGCTGTCCCCAGAAAGGTGGGCTTCTGAGCCGGGAGACCTCCTGCGGGCCTCCTGCCAGGGAGCCGGCCTGGCATCTGCCTGCTAATCCTGTGCTCTGCTCATTTCCAAGCTTGCTGCTGCCAGAGCCACCAGGAGCGGGAAGTCCTCCTCCTGGGTGACGGGGGTGACGGCAAGAGCTCCCTCATGAACCGCCATGTCACCCACAAGTTTGACTCCCAGGCCTTCCACACCATCGGGGTGGAGTTCCTCAACCAGGACCTGGAAGTGGACGGATGCCTCGTGACTCTCCAGATCTGGGACACGGCGGGACAGGAGCGCTTCAAGAGCTTGTGGACCCCCTTCTACCGCGGTGCGGATTGTTGCCTCTTGACCTTCCGCGTTGATGACCGGCAGAGCTTTGAGAACCTGGGCCACTGGCAGAAGGAGTTTGCCTGCTACGCCAATGTCAAGGATCCAGAGCACTGTAGTGCTGGGAAACAAGGTGGACAAGGCGGAGAGGCAGGTGGCAGCAGAGGAGGCCCGGGCATGGTGCCTGGCACATGGCAACTACTCTTACCTGGAGACATGTGCCAAGGATGACACGAATGTGGCGGTGGCTTTTGAGGAAGCAGTGAGGCAGGTGCTGGCCTCGGAAGAGCAGCTGGAGCACTGCGTCCTGGGCCGCACGGTCGATCTGCACCGCAATGCCAAGCCAGGCTCTTTGTGTTGCTGACAGGTGCCAGACGAGAACTGGCTGCTGTTTACAGAGGGAGGGAGGGGAGGGTCCTCAGCTTTTCTCTTTGGCCCACTGAGGCCTTCACTGGTTGAACTGCCCTAGAGTAGCACCTCAGCCTCCTGCTCATGCAGCGTGGGATTGGGCTCTTGTGGAGGGCACTTCCGGTTCCCTCTCCTGCCCCCCTGCCCCATGGGTTGTAGAGACATGGGTCCAGGGTCCTTTGTCTGTCCCAGACAAAGCAGGGCCAGGGGGAGCAAGAATTGCTGGAGCTGTTGCACAGTCAACTGGTGGCAGGCAGGCTGAGTCATGTGGGACTTTCTGGTCAAGGTGCATTGTGCTGATGGTGGGGGGAGGGGTTTCCAATGGGTGGGAGAGCTGAGCAGAATCAGCCCATCTATGGCTACTGTTAGTGCCAAGCAACAAGAGACCTCTGGGTTATCTCTTCCCCCTTTTCTGCCTTTGCTCCTGTTGCTTTCCCTGGTGCCTCACCTGGAAGTGGGGGATAAGCCTCACTGTTTGAAGAAGCAGGTGGCTGGGAGCTGAATCTGGGGGCACAGACTGTTAACTTGGCTAGTGTATATCTTGGTGTGGTGTGCGTAAGCTCAATGAATCCAAAAGGTGGCCCATGATTATGGCCATGTTGTATCTCTGATTAGAGCAAAGGTCAATGCCATTCCCTCCATTCTGCTTTGGGGCAGAAAACTGGCCAAATTCTGCATCACCACCAGTTGCACCATTCTTGGGGAAGTTCTTAGCTCTCCAAAGTTGCAGGTGCCTGGCCTCTGGCAAGGGAGGCTGGGTCCCTCAGAAGTACACTTTCCGTGCTGAACAAATGCCTCCCCTCAGGCTGCTCTGGAAATGAGCACCTCCCACCGCCTAGAAAAACAGCGGTATAGGAAAAAGACGAGCTGCTCCTTTTGGCCAAAGAACTAAGCCCATGAGAGCACCTGCTGACACCTAGCCTGGCTGGTCATTCATGTTCACGGTCACAGGCATCCTGCACGCCACATTCTGACCATTTCCCCACTGTCTTTGGGGTTCAGCAGAGGTGGCTTCAGGAATGGGGCAGTTATAGGTGGGGCAGAAGCCTTGAATTAATTTTGTGCATAGACCCATGTTAAGAGAAGCCCCAACCCAACTGCATTGGTTGGGGGTGTTCCAAGTGGGGGTGGTGGTAATAGAGGTGGTAGCTTTTCTGGTGACTGAATGAAGGAGGGAAAACTGCCAAGTGCATGAAAAGAGTGATGTGTAGCCATGCCTCCCAAGTGTGTTCTTTGCATCTTTTGCAACAAGATTAAGACACTTAAGGTAGAGTCCAAATGCAGTAACTTTTTCATTCGTTTCAAAGGAAAATTTACTCCTAGTGTTACAAGCATGATTATTTTTTTCAAAGCTGTTTCCAGAGAGTCGTATCAGTCTGTTGCAGCCAAACCAAGCCAGTAGCACTAATAAAGATGGCAAGTTCATTATCCCAAAAGAGCCTGCTTTGCCCAAACCATCGCACACCTTGCCTTCCTGCACATCTCACCCTACCCGCTGATGAAGACACTTGATCTGAAAAAAGTGGGCTCTGATTCCTAAAACTTATGGTGCTAAATTGGCTGCCTGCATGGCATCCCAAGGCACCCTGGTCCCTCTTCTCCTTACCAGGCACCCTCTTCAAAAGCCTGCAAGAAAGCTGGTATTGTTCACATTTTGTCCTTGTTGTCTCAACAGCAGTTCTTCCACTTTTCTCCCTGATCATCTCTATGTCCAGGAGTCATGAGTCAGCAGTGTAAGAAAGCAACAGAGAAATGTATTTTGGACAGCAAAAGGTGATTATATCCACACGACTCCAGTTTTCATGCTGTTTTGCCCATTAGTGGAGATGTTATGTTCAAAGCACGTAACTAGTCCCTCAGAATTTGTCAGCAGTTACAGGTCTCCTTCCTCCTTATGGAGACTTGGGAACATGAAAGCCAACTAAAGGAAGGAGGGAAATTCTGACCCACTTTACAGAGGGGCTCAACCAATTATGTTAAGCAAGCCCTTAAGAGACTGAACGATCCATCTAACCAGATCAAGAGATAAATCAATTCCCAGAGAATGCCTGTTAAAAGCAACTTTACCAGCAAAAGTGGGTGAACTCGCCAACCTCCAAAGATTTCAGGCCATTTCAGAATGTCTCCACAAATACAATGTGTTTTTAACGTACTGTGTTTGTTAATTGCAAAAGAAGGAGCTTTGTTTGTGGGTCATTCCTAGTCCTGAGCTAATCTGAACACCCACCAGTTCTGCAAGCAGGGAAGGGCTGGCACAAGGGGCTCTGTGCCGTGCCCGGGAGAGGCCCCAGCATTCTTGGAAGAGTGGGTGGGAGTATGGAACAGCCATCTGGCCACACTGGGAGAGGCAAGGGCCACCCTTCTTTTCCCCAGAAAGCCTGCAGAGCCAAGAGGTTGAGTGAGGCAGCATCCAGTGGAGCCTGAGAGTAATCACCCCTCCGTGCTGCTTTGGAAGAGAAAACCCTCCCACCCCCACATATGTTTTATCACAGGAGATGTCATCGGGTGGGCAAGTGGTTGGATAGATTAGATGGGTAGACAGACAGATAGACAGAGGTTGCCCCATACCCTCCAACACAGAGGCCGAGCATGTTGCCAAGGATTTCCATGCCAGCATTGGCTCAATAGCCAGCAAAATCCAATATCCCACCATTTTGGGACTCCTGAAATTTGCAAGGCTGGCTTCAATTTCTGCAGCACAAACTCTCCTCGTGGTGCGTTTTTATCAATCAAGGAAGAGGAATCCAGGCAGTAAAACCTGATCTTTGCTGTCAAAGCTGTGGGGATCACAAACACCGTCAGCCTGTAGCGCCTTGATGGCCTTCTGAAAGCCATGCCAAGGAGGGCCAGGCATCCAAGCCCCGCTGAGAGGCCTGAGCCCTGCCCCAGCCTCCCTGGCAGGAAGAGGGAGAAGAGCAGCCAAGGAGGCTCTCTTGGGGCAAGGTGGGAAAGCAGCCAGACAGGAAGAGAGCAGAGAGTTCTTCAGAACAGTCGTAACTTTTATTCCTTGAATATTACAAAATACACCTTGCAAGGTAAGTCTCAAAAAACAAATTTGTCATGCTTTGTTAAAAAAATGAATTTCAAAAGGAGAAAGAAACAACTTAGCTTATTAGCTGGTTCCCCAGTGTTTATACCGAGGGATTTTGGAGGGCTCAAGTCCCAGTTATATGCATTTCTATCAACGTGAAATATCAGGTATAGACAACTTCATTTGCCCCCAGTATTCGCTTCTGTTTTCCAGGTGGGCTCTGTTCACATGTGCATCCAGAGTGGGTTTCAGCTGCCTGGGCCAAGCCTGCTCAGCAGGGCTGCCCTGATTGTTAGCCGTCCAGGGAATTGGCCCCCTGCTTGGCCATCTCTTCCCCCCCCCTTCCTGACACAGACCCCCCCAAGGCTGGAGCCCAGCGCTGGCTGAGCCTGGTCGGCCAGGGAGCTCCCAGCTGGGGCTTTGCTTCCGTGGACAAAAAGCCCCTCTTCGGGGAGGGCTTCAATGACACTTCCCGTCCATCCCTTCTTTCCGCTTGATTTAATTGTGTGAAGTTCAGGGACGCTCCTTTCCCAGAGAGTCCAAAGCCATTTTGTTTTGTGGAAATTGTGTCCAGAATGTTCAGTGCATTTCTCTTCTTTTACCCGTCTCTTTAGACAAGTAACCAAGACAGGAGACTCCATATAACTGGGGGGGTTTACAGTTTGCCAGAAATTGGAAAGAGTAATTATAAGGACAGGAATACAGGTTATATTCTGCAAATGATCCCTAATGAAGCACACACATGAGAGAAGCAGCAGTCACTGGGAGGCAAGAGCACCAGGAGGACGGTCGCAGGCTGGGTTCCACAGCTAGTGGCAAGAGGGAAAGCACATGGCCCAGGGTTACGATCCCCTCCTCTAACGAAGGAGCTCCTAGCATTAGACATGGAAGCTTTGGTTATGGGTGCTCCTAAGGCTGACCTCTGCCCGGCTGGTGTGGCCCAAGGAAGCTGGAGCCCATGAGCCCTGGCTTGACCTGCTCCTCAAAGGATGGGGAGGGGGGCCCCTTCCCCAGGTTCCTCGGGGCTCCGGGCAAGGTCACCTCTCAACAAGGCAGCGGCTCAGTGCTCTCTTCCTGGGAAGATCCTGGCTCTAAGCCCTCTTGCCCAGGAGACAGGGAGGGAGGTTGGCCTCGGGGCACCTTTGGTTCTCTGCCACCTCTGGTGCCACCCTGGGAGAAAGCTGGTGAACTATAGCCTAGCCGGCTCTTCTCTATCTCAGGGCGGCTCAGCTGGCTGACCAGACCCCCTGGGCTTCCTTTGGAGCAGGCAGCTCTCCCCCTCCGGGTGTGAGGCCAAGAGCCCCTGTCAGGTGGTCCTGGAGGAGCCCAGAGAGCTACAGGGAGATGAGAGCATGAAGCGCTGGAGCTGCGGTGCTGAAGAGACTCCTCCATCCTTGGGATATGGCCTCTGCTTCATTGGCCCAAGGGGGAAGGGCAGTCAGGTGGTATTAAAGGAGGAGGAGGAAGAAGAGGAAGCCAGGTGCAGCGTGACTGCCTGGTTGGGTTAAAGCCTGGTAGTTAGAGGAGGAAGAGCATCTGGCGAAGGTAATGGCGCTCTCTCTTGCTCACGCTTAGAACTTTGTGCCTCTTCCCATCAGTCTGAGGACTGCAAAGTTGTAGGTGGCCGCAATGATGAAGGTGAGCTGGAGGGCAGAAAATGGGAAGACGGAGGTGAGATCAAAAGGCCCTGGGAAAGATGCCTCCCTTCCCAAGCTCCCCTCGTGGCCCCAAGCATTTCGGGCTTCTTCTGCACTGGCCTAGAGGTCTCCAGCCCCATCCGCACCCTTCCCTGGCAGAAGATGTGGCAACAGCCCCAGGTGTGACTGTGCATTGAAGCTCCTCTCAGTGTTGCTGCCCTGCTGTCCAGGTTGCTGTTTTGGACGTTTGGGCCGAAAGCAATTGCAACACTCCTGCCTCCTCCCTAACCCTCATCCTTGAATCAAAGGGAAAAGGCTGAGGGGACCCTTGGCTAGACTTACCAGGGCCACAAGAGTAACAGCAGCCCCCACGAATGCGGCAATGAAGAGATGAAAGGTCATCTGGAACTATAAACACAGAGAGGTCTCAGCCCCGATCCCTGGAGGATGGGGGATCAAGGAGGACTGAACCCAGAGGTCAAAGGTCCAAAGGAGGCAGCACTTTTCTCTAGGTGGTCAACCAACTGCTGGACAAAAGGGGCCTTCGCTGATCTAGCAAGGCCACTCTTAGAGATAGCAGGTGGATTATCTTACCTGTCAGGCTGAATATTCAAAGTTGCAGGTGGGATCTTCTTTTCTCGTCCACATGTAAGAGGGTCACCTCCAAAATAATGCCCAGATGGCACCTTACATCCATTTTGCCCATCATATAAATAATATGGATTGTTGCAAGAACCAATCTGGGTCGGTCAGTGGGACCAGGACTTTTGGACTCGTGCAGGAGCCCATCTTCAAAGAGTGTGGATTTTCTTCACAAGGATGGTTTTTACTAAAAGGCAGCACCTGCCTGAACTACTAAGATGTGTTTGGTGACAGCTCAGTTTTTTAACAACCTGCTGATTGTCTTGAACACAATGGATTATCTGCAAACAGCAGATTGCCAGTTACTGAATTACAAGTTAGTAATAGTTTGGTTTTGATTACTGAGTTATCAAAGAAGAGGTTGAGGAGGGGAAATGAACAACATGGGGGTCCCAGTGGATCTTTGTAACCCAAGATTGGCCAGTGATGAACTCTCTGATACAAAGATGTCAGGAGTCACCACATTGCGGTTTTCTGTCAGAATCACATCAGTCTGTAAGCACTGTTGGCCTCTACTCCCTTTCAACCGTCAGCTGCTGCACCTAAATTTATCTTCTTCCTTCTCTGACCCCAGAGGTGAAGTTTCCCCCGACTCTGCTGGCTTTCCAGAAGAGTGTGAAGACCTGGCTCGGACAACTGGCATGGGATCCAAGAGTGAGACCCAACCCTGGGCGATGGGGGGGCCTGGGGGTCTTTTAAACAGGGCTTATGTTTGTACAGATTTTTAGGTGGACTTGGGTTGTGGTTTTTTTACTTCTACGCCACCCAAAGGCACTTAGACAATGAGATATGTATGTATGTATGTATGTATGTATGTA